AAGGAAGGAAGGGAAACCAATACAGAGAAAAGACAAAGGGAAAAACCAACAAAGGAAAAAGATAATATATGCAATCATTTGTTGTACTGTTAAAATAATTTCACATACATTTGCACATCACTGGCAGGTTTTCTTCTTCTTGACATTCCAGCCTTGCCTGACATACGTATGACACAAATGCAAGCTGGAGACCACCACTTACCTCCTTGCCTCAATCAGATGCTCTAATTTCCCATCTTATCAGTTTTGCTCACCTAGAATCTAACTCAGCCAACACTAATCCTGTTGTAATTAAGAAGAGTCTCAGGACTTCCAGTAAAGATAGCAGCCTAGGTAAACAGCTTGCCTCCTCACACAACAACATCAAATTACAACTAAAATACAGAACAACCATCACTCAGAACTGTCAGAAATTGAGTTGAAGGGAAATCTGACAACTACAAAATTAAAGAAACCACATCCATCCAGACTGGTAGGAGGGGCACAGACACAGAATGGGCTGGTCAAACATCCATATGTGGTGGACAAAAAATTGGGAGGGATATCTCAGGAGTAAGGAGTCCCAGCCTCACAGCAGGCCCCCCAGTCCAGGGTTCCAGTGCTAGCAAGATAAGCCCCCATAACTTCTGGCTGCAAAAACCAATAGGGATTGAATTGGTGGAAGAAACTTCCGGAGTCTCAAGAAATTCCTCTCAAAGAACTCACACACAGACTTAGACTCACCCTCTGAGTTTCAGTACCAGGGTAGCAGCTTGAAAGGAACCAGTGGCATACAGGGAGAAACTGAAGTGTCTGGCATTAAAGCAAGAGCTGAGGGACAGAGGGACAGGCAAAGGCCATTGTCTCTTTTCTGAGCCCTTCCCCTACAGAGTCACAGACTCTGAGACCTCCCCCTACAGAGCTGGCAGGCTGGTGCCATACCTGAGTTTCCATCAACCTGGCTAACACTGTTTACCCCACTCTGAAAATCCCCAGAGACTCCATCCCACCCAACTTATGGCACACGAATGACTGACCTTGCCTCATGCTTCACAACTTCGTAAATTCTCTCAAACAAGCAACAGCTAACCTCAGTGAGCCCCTAGCCCCAGTACCCAGCACTAGTAGCAACCAGCCTAGATTCACAGCTTGCCTTCTCCTGGGTATCTCCAAGCCCAGTACAAGCAGCAGCCATCTCAGAGTACTTTATAGCTCAGGCAGAGTGGCCCTGGGCAAAACACAGGTCAGGGCTGATCTTAGCCTGCACCACCTGGGAAACCCCAGAGTTGGTGTACCCATTGGACAGCTAGAGATCATACCAGTGTACCACCACCCTGCCTCTGCACAGCTGATTATCCACAAAGGGCAGAGATTAGTAGTCAGTGGTCACAGCCAGTTCTTATAGCTGACTGGCCTGGGTAAATCCCTCCCATTAACCTGCCAACAGCAATCAAGTCTCAACTACAAGAGGAGAGTGTACTCAGCCTACACAAAGGGCGCACCTCAACTATCAAGCTTGAGTGATAGGGGAGGCTATGCCACTGAACCCTGCAGGACACCTACTACATTAGACCACACTACCAAGCCAGAGAGATGTAGCAGCTCTACCTAATACATAGAAAAAAAAAATACAGCAGGACTGCCAGAATGAGCAGACAAAGAAACATGGCCCAAATGAAAGAACAGACAAAAATTCCTGAAAAACAACTAAACAAAATGGAGACAAGCAATCTATCAGATGCAGAGTTCAAAACACTGGTTATAAGGATGTTTAAGGAACTTAGTGAGGACCTCAATAGCATAAAAAAAGATCCAGACAGAAATAAAAGATACACTGATTAAAATAAAGAACAATTTATAGGGAAACAACAGTAGAGTAGACGAATTTGATCTGGAACATGAAGAAGCAAAAAACAACCAATCAGAACAACAACAAAAAAGAATCCAAGAAAATGAGGATAGTGGAAGCAGCCTCTGGGACAACGTCAAGAGTTCCAACATTCTCATCATAGGGGTACCAGAAGGAGAAGAGAAAGAGCAATAAATTGGAAATCTATTTGAAAAAAATAACAAAATAAAACTTCCCTAATTTGATGAAGGAAATAGACATGCAAGTCCGGGAAACACAGAATTCCAAACAAGATGGATTTGAAGAGACCCACTCCAAGACATATCATAACTAAAGTGCTAAAGGTTAAAGATAATTGAAAGAATCTTAAAAGCAGCAGGAGAAAAGCAGTTAGTGACCTACAGGGGAATTCCCATAAGACTGTCAGGTGACTTCTCAAAAGAAACTTTGCAGTATAGAATGGACTGGCAAGAAATATTCAAAAGTCATAAAAAGTGGGGACCTACAGCCAAGATTGCTCTACCCAGCAAAGCTATCATTTAGAATCAAAGGGCACATAAAGAGCTTCCCAGACAAGAAAAAACTAATGGAGTTCATCATCACCAAACCATTATGATATGAAATGTTAAAGGGACTTATTTAAGAAAAAGAAGAAGACCAAAACTATGAACAATAAAATGACATTAAATACATATCTATTAACAATTGACTCTAAAATACAAACTAAGCAAACAGGAAGAACACTCTCCATGAATATGGAGAGTGTTTTGATGGTTGCCAGGTGGGAGGGGGGTATAAGGGAATGGGTGAAGAGGTGAGGGTATTAAGAAGGACAAATAGGAAGTTACAGAATAGCCATGGGGATATAAAGTACAGTATAGGAAATGGAGTAGCCAAAGAACTTATACACATGACCCACAGACATGAACAAAGGTGCAGGGATTGCCTGAAGGACTGGAGGATGCTGAGTAGAGGGGTGCCAAGGGGAAAAAATTAGGACAACTGTAATTGCATAATCAATAGAATATTTTTAAAAAAGAAAGGTCTATGGGAGGGTTAGGTGGGTGGGCTGGAATGGGAGTAAAAGGGAGAAAACTGTACTTGAACAATGATTAAAATAAAAAAATAGAAAGGTCTGTTTATGAGGCTCATTCTTTCAAACATCATGTATTTCATACCTATTTTGCATTCAGCACTATGCTCAACAAAGTCGAAGTAAAAATAAGTCTCCGGTCATCATGAAAATTAAAATCCACTTGGACTAAAAAACCATTGAGCACAAAATAACTAGAATTCAATTAAGTGTTGACTTATATGATTCAAACCAAATACCATTTCAACCAGTGAGAATGCATACTACCCAGCACCTGTTGATATCCGCCCCCCCCGCCGCCTCCCACCCCCAACACAAGTTGATAGAGATGAATCCTAGATAGTTGTACTTCTATTAAATGCCCAATCATGCTATATGGTAAATTTCTCTTTACCTTTCTTTCTTCTCCACTGTTCCATAAGGTCTCGATTATCTTTGCATCTATTGTCTGGAACATGGAAGGCATTCATATGTTTGTTAAATGTATGTATGAATCAGAAGCTAAGCCAACTCCAGAGTAGCTGCCAATGTCCTTAACTTTCTCCTACAGTAAATCCCAAAAGCTTTAAGGTTAAAATCTATTACCTAATATGGCCATTGACCAAGACTTGGCCCAGAGGATGACTGGTATTAAAGATCTGGTGCTGAGTGTTCAGGTAGAAAGCTCAGAAAAACTCTGGCGAATTCTAAAACGCTTTTAGAAAAGAGGTAGAAAGAAGATTCTAATACAATGCCTGAAGTATAAAATGTGTTCAGTAAATATTTTATGAGTGAATGAACAAAAGATAACTGAGGAAAGACAGTGAGCTCAAAAAGAGACCAAACTCAGAAGACAAGTGTGACAGATGTGGCTGTATCTAAAGCTTTCTGTAGCAGAAACTTAAAATAGCCATTATTTCCTAATGGCTATTATGTCCATTTCCTTATGTTAATTTTCCAGCATAACCCCCTCTTATTACTCCCAAACACCTTTTAAAGGAAAACAAAACCTCTTCACCCCACAGGCAGCTGTGACTCCCCAACTTGACTGGACATACTCATCACCTAGAGATCTTGCTAAAATGAAGGTTCTGAAGTATTACGTCTGGGGTGAGGCCAGAAATTTTGCATTTCTAACAAACTCCCAGCTGGGGCTATTGACACTGGTCCAGCTACCATACTTGTAAAGTCTTAAGAGCCTACAAGACATTTTACAGAGAACATATAAGTAGTGGTAAAGCTGTGAGTAAGCTTCCTCCTGCTCCCGGATTTCCTAGTTATGTAACATTAGACAAGTCACTTTACCTCTCTGAGCCTTCCTTTGTCATCAGAGTAACACGGTGAATAACAACTAAGACTTACTGAGCGCTTACCATGTACCATACACTGTATCATATTTATCACCTTATAAATAGGACTTACGTTAAACAACCTGCCCAAGGTAGGTAGAGTACACCTGGATCTGTTTCTAAGTAGTCTGACTCAAGAACCTGGTGTTTAAATCATCGTGTAAGACTGCCTCTTCAGCCTAGCTCCTGGAGCTTTTACGAAGATTAACTAGTACTTGGTGAGTAACACAAGTTCCAGACTCTAATCTAAACTCCCTTGGGGACATTTTAGCTCATCTATCTTTTTATCAACCCTGGAAGTTATGGGTTTTAAAATAGGCCCAAGTAAGTTAAAGCTGAAGGTCAAACAGTGGCACAGTCAGGACTGGAATCCAGGCAGTCTAACTGCAGGACCAGGCGCTCTTTTGCAACCAGGCAAAAGAGGAGGCAACCAGGACTCCAGCCTACGAGCGCTCAGCAAGCTGCGGCGGGCGCACGCCACTCAATGCGGTCTGTAAGCCCTGCTGGCTCCCAAAGCAAACCAAGTCTCTTACACTTAGCTTCACGTTATCTGTGGAAAGAGTCTTTCTTGGCCCACATCCAGGATCCGCCCCCACTCCCGCCGTGCACGGGTCAGTGTTCTGGTGAAATACAACTTATCCAGTCCCAAAAAGGGCTGACTGGCTAAACATCTTGAGAACACATTTTCACTTTGTGACAGAGTCGCTCCGGAATCCCGCAACACTTAGCCCCAGGAACTTGGGCCGCCCACCTGCGCCGCCGACTCCAGAGAGACGCAGTCCCATTTAGACTCTGCAATTTGTAGAAGGGGCTCATCGCGCCAGTTCCACCTCCACCCCGGCTAGAGCCAAAAGGACCGCTTCGAATACCATCTGCTCTCCAACAGCGCCGTCTGCCGGCCTCTTCTCCAGTTGCTCGAGTTATGAACCAATTCCGGTTGCTCCGGAAGTGAAGTTTTGTTTTCCGGGGCGCGCCTACGGACGCTCGCACGTGGTTGTATTTCCCCAGTTTGTGCCGGTACTGGCGGGCAAGTAATTTGAACTGTCTTCTCGGAGTTAGTGAGTCGAGCCGGAGCCATGGAGGGCCAGAGTGTGGAGGAACTGCTGGCAAAGGCGGAGCAGGACGAAGCCGAGAAGCTGCGGCGCATCACGGTGCACAAGGAGCTGGAACTGGAGTTCGACCTGGGTAACCTGCTGGCTTCCGACCGGAACCCCCCCACGGGCCTGCGGCGCGGGGGACCCACGCCGGAGGCCGAGCTGAAGGCTTTGGCGCGGGACAACACGCAACTGCTCATCAATCAGCTGTGGCAGCTGCCGACGGAGCGCGTGGAGGAGGCGGTGGTGGCGCAGCTGCCAGAACCCATCACTCGCCTGCCGCGCGAAAAGCCAGTTCCCCGGCCGCGGCCGCTGACACGCTGGCAGCAGTTCGCGCGACTTAAGGGCATCCGTCCCAAGAAGAAGACCAATTTGGTATGGGACGAGGTGAGTGGCCAGTGGCGGCGCCGCTGGGGATACCAGCGCGCCCGCGACGACACCAAGGAGTGGCTGATCGAAGTGCCTGGCAATGCCGACCCCTTGGAGGACCAGTTCGCCAAGCGCACCCAGGCTAAAAAGGAACGGGTGGCCAAGAACGAGCTGAACCGGCTGCGTAACTTAGCTCGCGCGCACAAAATGCAGCTGCCCAGCTCGGCCGGTTTGCACCCTACCGGACACCAGAGTAAGGAGGAGCTGGGCCGCGCCTTGCAAGTGGCAAAGGTCTCCACTGCTTCTGTGGGGCGCTTCCAGGAGCGTCTGCCGAAGGAGAAGGCACCCCGGGGCTCCGGCAAGAAGAGAAAGTTTCAGCCCCTTTTTGGGGACTTTGCTGCAGAGAAAAAGAGCCAGTTGGAGATGCTACGAGTCATGAACAGCAAAAAGCCTCAGCTGGACGTGACAAGGGCCACCAATAAGCAGATGAGGGAGGAGGACCAGGAAGAAGCTGCCAAGAGGAGGAAAATGGGCCAAAAGGGCAAGAGAAAGGGGGGCCGGCAGAATCCTGGAGGCAAGAGGAAAGGGGGTTCACTTAGCCAGGGGGGGAAGAGTAAAGGAGGCTTGGGAGGTAAGATGAATTCCGGGCCACCTGGCTTGGGTAGCAAGAGGAAAGGAGGGCAACGCCAAGGAGGAAAGAAGAGGAAGTAAAGTTCACCCGCCCACCCGCCTCCCTGTAAACTAAGAACTATTCTAAATGTTGAGGTCCAAGTCCTGTAGGGGGGATAAAAGAAGGTCACTGACTTCATTGAACTTGAGGTTGTAGGGAAAGGAATGCTCTCCCCTCAAGAAGAATGTAAATGTTGGACTTTACAGATTAATGTGTTTTTTTCCAACAACTCCAGGCCTTTGGCTGGAAATTTAAAGGATGTATTTGAGGACATAAGAATTTGGTCGAAACAGCCATCTTTTCTTTTTTTTTTTTTTTAAACTTTGGATGTGGTGTGAGGGAAAATTGTTAGGCGTTATTTTTATAACAAGCTTGTGTAATTATCAAAGGTAGGGCACAGAGACCACATTTTTAGAACTGGCCTTAAAAGTAATTGTGAAGTTATTTAATAAAAGTGTGTCTGTAGCTAATACTGCTTTTAACTCTTTGGCAGTTGGTAGAAATTTTAAGTAAAGTCAGTGACCTGGATATCTGTACAGATAATTTTTGTTTACTTTGTAAAAAACACAAAGCAACTAAATTGTGATTATTTCAGTGATATCACTATAGAAAAATCATACTTCTTTTAGTATTAGATATAATACAGAAGGTGTAGTATAACTGGTGTTTCTGAAAAAAGATTTCCTGCTTTTGAGCACTGAAAACATTGATTTGTTATGGATGATAAATTTGAGCCTAACTAAATAATGGTAATAATCGTCCTTAATCCAGAAAATACTCAAATCTTTCAACATTTATGTTCCCAATTTATTTAGTTTCAAGTAGAGTCTGTTTTGGGAAGACAGAAAACCTACAGATTTCTTAATTGGAATATTATCTTATTATCTTTAGATTATTTTGTCAAATTGACCTGTGCTGGTTTGTTTAGGTGGTAAAATGGTTATAGCTATTCTGAGTCTCTTTTTCCTACTTGATCTCAGTAACTTATCCTCGTAAATCTAAATATCTCCTGAAAAAGATTCATAGTAGATCTAGAATCCAGGGCGGGGTTTGCTGCTATTACCGAGCTGAGAGGCACTCTACTCTGCATTTTGGTCTGACAGTTGATAGGAAATTAAAATGGGAAATTCACTTTTTTAACTGTTCTCATTTTTATAAGGTTACTTTTGGAAATTGCTATGAAAGAAAATACTGATTTCTTACAGGATACTTAAGATACATGCTCAATCATTACATTGGATACTTTCTAAGTTAAAGTTGAACTTTGCCAAGTTGATCATTGATCAGCTATTCCACTTGGACATGGATGCACTTGGGGCTGCTGTGCCCTCTCAGAGAGTATAGGTTAATCATGGAAAGTTTTAAGCGCTCATGAAACGATTTAATAGAATCCTGAACAACTTCATCAAAAAGCCACACCATTCACAGAGCATTTAACATTTAACTTTTAAAATTTCAACTTGGTGGTGGTGAGGGGCCATGTTTGTGTTTACACTTGCATGATTTGGCAGTTGAACACAACACAGGCCCTGTAAAAAGGGACCCTCGGGCTTTTTGCAGGGTTGTTCTTTGTTGAAACAGTTTAAGTAGTGTCTTATTTTTTTTCTGAAAGTACTTTAAGAAGTCAGAATCGCATTTTAAAGAAATTAGTTGGAAAAGAAGGATCTTGCTTTTCTCGTTCCCCTCGTGTGAATTAGAGGGTTTCAAGTAGAGAGACTTAAGTATTCAGGACGCCACTGAGCAGTTACTTGTACAGCAATTTCAAAGATGGATGGGGAGACAGCTGCTGAGACGGTTGAAGTATTGGCTGGTAGGAAAGTGGTCCTGAGCCCCAGGGCTGAGGCTGGGGGCTGACCTAGGGAGGCTGGTGGGCAGTCCCGGCCCAGTGGGTGGGAGGAGGCAGGCGCAGCAGGAATTGGCCAGTCTGGGGGTTGGGGGCGGGGCCACGGGGAGACAACCACGCAGTCATGGCTGCTGCCTCCCGCTCCCGGGTCGCGCACTTGCTGAGGCAACTGCAGCGTGCGGCGTGAGTGCGGGGCCTGGTGGGCGGGCAGGGGACCCGAGAGTGCGATCGTGCTCACGCAGCCCCTCTGGGTGTGATGCGCCTGAGCCCCGCGCATTCTCCCTTGGGTTACTTTCATTAACTTGGGGAAGGGGCTACCGCAGTGCATGGCCACTTTGCACTGGGCGAGACAGTGCCACGCAATCAAGTACTGCGCAGTGAGGCAGGTTTTTACCCCGTTCTATATACAGTTAAGGAAACAGGCCCGGAGAGGATACTGCCTGGCCCCACGTCATATCAGACAGCTCATGGCTTGGCACAGTGACCAAGACAAATTCGTGTATCCAATCAATGCATTTATATTGGGTGCAAGTTACCAATATACTATTGGTAACATGCCAAAAACTATTCTAGGAGCTGGGGATACAAAGATGAAAAACACTGGAGCACTCTAAAGTCTAGTAGGACATAGGGTTGAGGGGTTAGGGTTTGTAAAACGGGTCTGGGCAGAATGCAGCGGACAGAGGGTGTAGAAGAGAAAGATGAAGCTGAGGAGTCACCTGAAGCTTCACTTGCATGTGCAGCACTGTTACAGCAGGAATGGTAAAATGTTATGATGTGTGCGACTCCTCTTCTGTTAAGACAAAAATGCAAGGTACGTAAGCAGCTGCCTGATAAAATACTTGTTGGATGTGCCAGTGCAATATTGGGTCTGGAAAAATTCGAACAAACGGGTGGAGAAAAATAAGGGGCTAGAGAAATTTCAAGCCAAGGGAAGAGAAGCACAAGAGGCAAGAGAAATAGAAAGTCAGCACCCTCCAGCCTCTTCATAGGAGAAGACAGATGGTGAAAGACCATGAATAGAAAATAGAACTTACTGAGCACTTACCATGTGCCAGGCACTGTCCTACACACTTTACACATGCTATTATTAATAGTAACTATAATCCTTACAACAACCTTCTGCAATACTGTATTGTATCCTCATATTACAGGTGAAGAAATAAAGGCATGGAGAAAAAGAATTTGTCCAGTGTCACATAACTAAGCAAATGGCACAGCTGTAATATGAACTCATATATTCTGGTTTCACAGTTCTTGTTCTCATCTAAGGAGTTTGAATTGTGCCGTGTGGTTAATGGAAAATTGTGGAAGCAGTCATTCTTACTGTGAAATACTAATATGTTGAAATGCCCCATGAAAAAAAGAATTCAGTGGCCAAATAGATTTGGGAAACTAACTGCTCACTGCTGCATAGCTCTCTTGGAGAGTCAGGATGTATGTGAGCACAGGAAGGGCTCTGAGAAGTCATGCAAGGGGAGCAAATGGTCAGTTGTATTTAAACTCTTCATTCTAAACTTGTGTCATCATAGACCTTTTCACCAAGCAACACCATTTCTATCCCATGGAAGTGTCATATAGATGTTTTTAGAATGGTTGCATGAGAAAGGTATGTGGCATAATTAGAATTAGGTTAGAGCTTTCTGGTGGCAGTGGAGAAGAAATACTAGAGGTAGTTGCAGAGTGCTCCAGCTCAAAGGTCATGGCTTCAGACACCAAAGAGGAGCAGTTGGTACAAGAGGTAGATGTGAGAAATATTGAGGGATTGGTTAGAATCAGCAAGATTTTGTATAGTTTTAGTGAGATCGGGAGAAATTGAGGTGTCTGCCTGGAGCATCAGGTAAATATTGGGGACATTTACCAAAGTCAGGACTGTAAGAGTTCACTTTAGGAGGAAGGTGATGACTTACATACAAGTCCTGGGCATTTTGAGTTGGACATGACTCGGGTATATCCAGATGAAGACCCCCAGCTGGGAATTGAGTAGATTGTTCTGGAGTTCAGGTTGAGAGCACACCATGAGTGTGGCAGCAAAGGCCCTGGCAAACTCGGCATAGAAGCAAAGGGCCGAGAATGAAGTCCTGGGGAGCAGCACTGTTACAGCCTGAGTAGTAAAATGGTGCTTTGTCCTACACATTTTTACACAAGTAAGCATTTAAAAGTGGGACGTTTCAAATAAAAATCTTGGGAAATTGGGAAATGGCATGATGTGGCCCACATCTGGAGGAAGTCTGCACGGGCCAAGGTGGTGGCCACCTCCTTTGGACAGGGCAGCACTCCAGCTTCCTGAGAGACCCAGCACAGCCCACTGCTCTCTCCATACAGCAGCTGCTCTGACTTGCTCTGGCCTCTTATTTACATCACCTGCTGGCCTCCTTAGACATCAGGATTTGCAAATAATTTGCATTTTGAATGGAGGAAAAGGAACCAGCATTAAAGGACTGAAGTCCTGGCCAAAGAGATGGGAGAAAGCCCAGGAGGGAAAGACATCACAATAACTGCAGAGTTACAGAGTTCTCATCCCCTGGGGTGCACCAGGAACAAGATAACCCAACATCCCTGGCACTTAATTGTGTGCATGGGGCAGGTAGAGCAGACAATAAACTAGTAAGTTTAGAGTAAATTAGATGTTGATGAACAAGATAAAGTGAAGGAAGATTGGATGTTGGAGGAAGGGACGCAATTTTAGAAAAGATGGTCAGGGAAGACCTCATTATTTCATATTACTGCTGTCACAGATAATTGTGAACACGGTGGCTGAAAACAACACACATTTATTCTCTTACAGTTCTGAAGTTTGGGAAGTCTAAAATCAGTTTTACCGGGCCAAAATGAAGGCCACACTCCCTTCAGAGGCTCTAGGGGAGAACCCATTTGCCTTGCTTGCTCTGTCCAGCTTCTAGAGCTGTGCTCCTTCAATTCCTCTGCTTGTGGCCCCTTTCTCCAGCTTCACAGTCAGCAATGTAGAATCTCGCTTCAGTAGTCACATTGCCTGCTGTGTCCCATCTCCCTCTGGCTCCCCTATGAGGATGCTTGTGATTACATTTAGGGCCCAGCCAGATAATCCAGGATAATCTCTCCATCTCATAATCCTTAATTTAACCACACCAGCAGATGTGCTTTATAACGTAATATTCACAGGTTCCAGGGATTGAGACCCCAGATACCTTCAGGGGCTCAGCTGACCACACTCACAGAATTAACTGTTGCAGACAGACCAGTGGAGGGAGGGAGTAAACCGTGTGGCTCTCTGGGAAGGTGCCTAGAGGTGGAGTATGCCCAGTGTGGTTTCAGAACATGGTGCCTGGAGCAGAGCACATGAGGGGGAGACAAGGTCAGAGACATTGGGGGCCAGGTGGGTGGCCAAAGATGACCCCAATATTTTTTACCTAAACAAAGGAAAGATGAAGTTGCCATTAAACTGGAGTGGGGATGAGGCTTCGAGGGAACACCAGGAGCTGAGTCGTAGGCAGGGAAACAGAGATGCCTGATAGATATTCAAGTGCAGTTGAATCTGAAACTCAGGTAAGAGGTCTAAACTAGAAGATAAATGTGGAAGTCATCAGCATAGAAGGTATTCACGGCCATGAGACCAGGTAAGGTTACTCAGGGAGTGAGTGTGGAAAGAGAAGTGTCCATGGGTAGCACCCTAGGACCCTCCAGTATTCAGACTCAAGAGCATGAAGAGCAGTTGGTCAAGGAGCAAGCAGCCAGTGTGGGAGGGAGAAAACCAGAGAATGGTGTCTTGGAAGCCAGGGGAAGAAAGTGTTTCCAGGGAAAAGGTAATGGACAAGAGGATGTTGTTGACAGGTCTGGTAAGATGAGAACTGAACTGATGAGTGAGTCATGTATAAGCAAGGTGAGGGTTTTAGTGACCTTGTCAGTGGAATCATGGGGTGAAGGCCAATTGGAAAAGGTTCCAGGGCTGATAGGAGAAGAGAAATTGGAGAGAGGAGGTACAGTCAGCTAAAGGGAAGGAGAGAGGTGCAGGCAGCATCAGGAGAGGGAAGAGGAGCGAGAGAAGGTTATTGTTTGCTTTGGGGATTGGGGAGATAAATCCATTTTAAGGAGGGCCTTTCGGGAGGGTGAAGGGCTAGGAGGACCAGGAGACCTGAGGTCCTCTGCCCAGCTGGTGTTTCCTGTTTCACAGCTGCTGAAAGCTGTTTGCTTTCTAATACAATATAGGAAAAGGTCTATTGGGAGGGAAATTTTTGATGAGGAGGAGAAAGAAGGAGGAACAACTAGTAATGCCCTTGAGTGGGGCTGAGACATAGTACACAGGTAAGGGACAGGCGTTTGCTAAAAGCATGGCCAGTTTATTAGTGATGCAAGGAAGGAAGCCAGGTGGTTGGGCCAGAGCCAGGAGGGGGTGGGTGTGGGGCTTGCTCTAGCTGGGGTTTCCCTTACTTCTAGGAGCCAAGAAGCTCATCAGTAGCTTCAGGCCATTATAAGAAGGTGGGGGAGACCACAGTCTATTCTCCCTTCCCCAGGGAAGGTTCTGTGTCATTGCACACCAGGAAAACAGAGAAGGTCAGAAAATTTAAAATGTCTTCATTCATTACTCATTTATTCGGTATAAAGGGTGTACTTTGTGCTTGGCACTACGCTAACCACTGCAGATAAAGTTGTGGAAAAGGTTAGCTCTTGCCTTGTTATCACAAAATTTACATTCTCAAGGCAAATGGAAACAGAAAAGGGGTACAGTGTGGTAACAGTTTTAATGGGAAGGGAAGTGCAGGGATCACAGAGAGAGGGTGCCTTCCCTGGCCCCCAGGCCTTAGGGAAGAATCCCCAGGGAAACTGACATCAGAATTGGCAACAAAAAAGAACACTAGTTATCTGGAGGAGGGGGGAAAGTAAGTTCCAGGCAGAGGAAATAAGAACAAAGTTCTGGAGACAAGAGCATGTGTGGTTGATTAAAAGAACCAAGTTTATTTTTCAAGAGCTCAGCCCCAGAGATGGAGGGTGATGAGGAGCCAGGCTGGAGAGGTTAGCAGGGCTTCATCTGAACTTTATCCCAAGAGCCACGACGAACCATCAAAGTACTTTTAAACAAGGGAGTAACATCATTGGCAATGTACCTCTGGTCACAGTGTGGCAAAGGTGGAGTGAAGAGAAGCATGTTAGGAACTTCATGGAAAGCCAGATGAGAGACGACATGGGAACCAGAGAGTGGTAGAGGGCCCCAGAGTAGTGGGTGGATTTGGGTAGAGAAATATTGGGGGCCTTGATGCATGGTTGGTTGCAAAGGTGTGAAGGGTGAGCCCAAGATAGAAGCCAACATTTAAGCAGTGGGCAGAGTGGAAAAGAAGCCACAAGGAGAATAATTGCAGGTGAGCAGGGAGTCCTAGCAACCAAGAGCGTTTCAGCCACCCCAGGAGGGGTGGCCCACAGTGTCCAGTGCTATGAGAGCAAGGTGCTGGGAGGAGGTCTGAGGAGTGACTATTACATTAGGAAAGTTGGGGCTTGTGAAGACAGCAGCCAATTTTAGGGGGCCAACGAATGTATGGGAGGCAAGGAAATGGGGCCAGCTGATGTAGGTCAGGAGTGCAGCACCAGAGAAGGAGCAAGCTGGAAGCGACATGAGGTTGAGAGTTCTAAGCATGAAAATCTTAAAAGTGATACAAGATCAAGTAAGGGGGAGAACTAGTAAATACAGGACAGACGGAGGTCCTGATAAGGCAAGAGGGGATGGGAATTCAAAGCACAAATGAGGAGTAGAAATAATGAGTTGAGGTAGCCTCAGAGCCTGAAAAATATAAAATAAAAAGAGGAGGGTGAGTAGCATTGGAAAGCTTTGCGTGTGATCCCCCTCCCCTTGCACCTCTTTTCTTGTCCTTGGGGGACAATAAGCCCTCCTGTGAAGAAGAGAACACCTTGGCCTTGCCTACTTTCATTTCTCCTGGGGGAGCCTGCAGCTGGATCAGACCTGCGGGGATGCTCCTGGGAAACCTGTAGCACCTGGCGTGCTCAACTACGCCCACGAGATGGCAGCCGTGATTCATGCTTCCGCTCACACTGGCTTCCGCTGTGGTTTTGACTTTCAGTTTTTGAGATCTTCACTACCAGTGAATTCAACCCTTTCTTTCTCCTTCCTATTCAGATGTTTTCATTACAAATTTGAATGGGGGAGGTTTTACACTCACGTATCTATAAGGATACGTGACAAAGTCCTCTGGGCAATAAATATAAACAAAACCCTTTCTCAACACTCAAACATAATAAGCAGTTCAAAAGGAAGCCAGAGAAGGGGACTGCCCACGAACAAGGAGGCTACCAAGACAGGGAAGGGATATGGAAGGCAAGGGTAGAGGAGCAGGTGTGAGCGCAATTCAGGCGAAAGCTGACAAGCACAGGGGTCTGGGAGGTGGTCGCTGATCCCTGAATCTTGGCAGAGGAAAGACAAGGGGGAGTCGGGAGGTGGTCTCAGGAAGGCCAGTAGATGAGGCCCAGAACCTGTATGAAGAAAAATTAAACACCTGAGGACAATGGGAAAACACAGGTGGGGAACAGGAGGTATGCAAGTAGTTAACCTTGGGTCAGTTTGGCCAAAGCTTCTAACTGGTAAGAGCTGAGACCAGGGACTCCATCTTAAACTTGTCTGCATCCCCAGAGTCCTTATCTCAGCTACCCATGGGTATTTATTAAGTACTACTTGAATAATTAATTAAAGAAAGAGCTTACAACAGCCACTTTTTTTGTCCATGGTGATTTCTGATTTTTTTATATGTTCAATCTTTGCCAAAAGCTGCTATTTTGCTAGCATCGTAAGACTGCAGAGCAAGTTACTTTGTCTTATCTTTGGATTTTCTAGTTTCACTTTACAGTTTTTCCTTTTTTTTTTCCCCCCTTCTCCCTAGATGCCAGTGCCCAACTCATTCGCATACTTACTCCCAAGGTAATAATACATTTTGTGCTTTTAAACTGGCCACAATTTACGTTTCCACAGTTGGCACTCCAATACATTTGGGCAAAGGGTGAAGCAAGCAAATCCAGGGATATAAGGAGGCTGATGAAAATGGTTGCCTTCTCACTAGAAACTGGTAATATGTGGTTCTAATTACACAAAGTTAGCTGAATGTATGCTGCTGATTGTGTGTTTGGCTCTAATATATGTTTAATGATATTTATAATGTTTTTCTGTTTTAAATAGAATTATTGCAAAGCTAAAAAGGATGCCATGGAGAGACTCTTAGGATTGTCTGAGTTATCAAACAATTAATAAAGATGAAATCTTTTGAAGGTTCTAATACATCTGAAAAAAGAAAGAAGCTAAAGAGCAAGGTGGTTCCTAGAATGAAAAACTTTGTGCATTAATTTTTTAAATAATATTCTATTAAAAACAAAATTAAAATAAAATATTATTCTATTTCTTAATAATTAAAAATAATGACAAGTTTTCATTTCCCACAAATGTCTTAATCCTTACCCACTCCATTGTCCACAGACCAGCAGGAAGCTCATTGCAGCTTCAGCAAGTCATCAGAATGTCACATGAATTACTGACACAAATGCTGACTTCACCTCTTGGAAAGGTCAAATATAAACAGCGAGGCGAGGAGAGGGATAAAAAGTAAGGGGGCTGGCCAAAAAGGACCCTAAGCAGAAACCCCCAGGGAGGGCCATTGGGAGTGGAACAGAAATAGAAAAACTGAGTGCTTTGCGGCTGGTGGAGTGACTCACACTGCAGGACAAGCCAAGGGACCTCCCATTCATTAACGGCCATCCACGGAACAGAAGGCTTTCTGGCCCTTGTGAGCCTGTGCAGAACTTTGTCTTCAGCTGATTTTCTCCAACTTTTACTGGATTTTAACAAAGAATGGGGAATTTCCTATTTGGGTGAATAAAATTAGTAATTTAGAGAAAGTTAACTTCACAGTTTAATAGTGTCCAATTTATGTCATTTCCTAAACTTGAGTCACTAGAGTAATAGATTAGACTAACCAGGACTGATTTAAAAGTAAGTAGATAAAAACAAGGACATTTATTGGGGCCCTCTTGTTGTTCCAATATGGCAGAAAATCGTTTTGCCCTACCTACAGCCATTGCAAAGAAGTATCAATTTATAAAAATTTGTAATTACATTTCAGAAAGAAAACTAAAATTTTTATATTTATAAGCTTGAGAAATAGAAATATCTCACTGTGACATGTAACCTCCATGGAAAAATTATTAATTGAAACAAATGATCACAGCTGCTATAAGAAGTATGAGCAAGATTCTAATTAATGAATCTGTTAATAATTTTTCTCTAACAATAACCCAACTCTGGAGCCTAGAAGATATCTTTTTCTAAAAGGTTTTTATACATTATATTTTCAAAAGTGTATTTTAATTTCAATGGGGAAGGTATTTTAAGTAACTTTATTTTCATACAATCAGATCAAGTTAGCATTGCGTTTTCTTGGAATATGGGTTTTAATTTTAATTTGATATGCAACAATGAAAATATATTTCAGGCAAGGCTGCAAGGGAGATGCTTATGTTCACTGCTAGAATACTAATTTACTATCAAACAATGATATTTTGCTTTGTTTTTGAGGCCTACTTTGATACTAAGTTTTACATTTCTAGCTCCTGGGATTTCACCTTCCGGAAAAATAACAGATTATGCCTTTGAGGTAAATTTATCAGCCATTCTTTCTTTTATGAACTAAAAAATATAACTAGAGTATTTTGCTTATGCATTATTATCTCATTTGAAGTTTGCTATTAATTGGTGTCCCTTAATCTCAATATTTGATCAGGCCCTATTTAGCAAAACACCTTGTTAGGATAATGGAATATAAATCTTCTGATAAATGAGTAGTGACTAGAATACCATCTTCTGTACAGCCATTAAAATAGGACAAATTCCCAGTTCTACAAACTTTCCAGTTTATATATGTTGTATGTTAAAGCTTCTTTAGTTTTAAGTTAACAACTTAAAACTTTGTAAGTATAACAACCCCCAAAGATTGTATCAAATAACCTTTTGATACAATCTTTAGAATACAAACCTTTAGAATAAAGAAATAGCTCTTCTGATTAATCTTTATCACACTGTAATCACATAATTATTTGTTTAAATCCATGTCTTCTCCTAGTTCAGGACTTGTAAATTAAATGTCACCAGGGGCAGACAGCCAGCCAGCCCATGAACAGACTGGGTGAGGACAGTGCTGAGTGCACTGAGCACACAGACCCTTCTGAAGACTATGTCCTCCCCTCAGCCCCACATGATCGCTGCCACACAGGAATGCAGGCCCGTGCACCATTATTCCAGAAAGATCGCACAGTCACATTGGATATTTTTATGCCAATTTTTAAGAGTTATGAGCCAACTCAATAAAGAAGAAATCTAAACATAATGTGGATCAAGCAAAACACATCTTTGGGCCAATAGTGACTATTCATCCATTGGTATAAAAGCTCATCTCTCAGCTGTAAACTTTATGAGACTTTCTCTTGTTCATAGTTGTACAACCAGAGCCTAGCACAGAACCTGGAGCATAGCAGGCACTTAGTAGCATTGGGTGGGTGGAAAAACAGGTAGACGATTGGTGGATGGATGTGTGCATGCATGCAAGGGTAGTTGGATAGATGAATGGTTGGGTGTTGAATGCTTGGATGAATGAATGAAGAGGTGAAAATATATGAGGAATTAACAACACTTAAATTGAAAAATAAGAAATTTGAGAGGTAACTTAGTTGTGGAGACAAAGAAAGACAGGCATTTCAAGCTGAGGAAAGAATTGAGAGTTTATGATGTGTCTGGAAAAAGATAAATAATTTCAGTGTGGCTAGAGCTAAGGTTTGCTTAAAGAAGTAGGGTGAATCTGAGGCCAGACAGAGTGAACAGGAAGGCTATGCTATGGGACATATACTTTATTCTCCAGGCAATGAGGAAATATTTCAGGCTTTAGAAATGAAGTGGTTAATCTCTCATACAGCCATCACCAAAATCTTTTTTTTTTTCAGATGGCTGTTTCAAACATTAGATATGGAGCAGGAGTTACAAAGGAAGTGGGAATGGTAAGTATTTAAGATTTTTCGAGTTTACTGTAGAAGTTACATTATCTTTTAAAACAAATGCAAATGGACAACAATTGAGTCCTTTGTTTTAAAAAAAAAGTTTAATGTTAAGTTGACCAGAAGTATCTATTACATTTCTAGTGAAATCAGACCTAACTTATAAGTTATTTTTGTTGTTGTAGGACCTGCAAAACATGGGTGCTAAAAATGTTTGTATGATGACAGACAAGAACCTCTCCCGGCTCCCTCCTGTACAAATAGTTATGGATTCCCTGGTGAAGAATGGTATAAACTTTAAGGTTTATGATAATGTGAGGGTTGAACCAACCGATAGAAGGTATTTTTTTATTGTCATTTTTATTTACTTTAAGTGGAACCCCACACATATCACTGTTGCTTGAAACTTGCCGCAAAAAAAATTACTTAGTGACATGTCAGTTTATTTCTGAAAAATATTACATAATGGCTTTTCTTTTCCTTTCTCACAGCTTTATGGAAGCTATTGAGTTTGCCAAAAAGGGAGCTTTTGATGCCTATGTTGCTGTGGGTGGTGGCTCCACCATGGACACCTGTAAAGCCGCTAATCTGTATGCATCCAACCCTCACTCTGATTTCCTAGATTACGTCAGTGCCCCCATTGGGAAGGGAAAGCCTGTTTCTGTGCCTCTTAAGCCTCTGATTGCAGGTCAAGACTGTTCATTTGCTTGTTTCTTCATTTGTTTTGTTTTGCAATTGGCAAAAGGCCTTAGGAAAAATGCAAGCCAGGAATTCTAGGGTATGTGTTTCTAAAGCTTTCTGATTTCTTCATTTCAGTGTAGTACCTTGTTTAGAGATCAAAACAGAGCAATTCATTTATGTTTACAATGTTGATCTTCACTATTGCACAAATAGAAACAGTTTGGGCCAGTGGTAGGAAAGTTTGCAGATTTAAGCTATGAAGTCACTGTGTGAAGGAGGAGGGAAGGCCATCATTTACGTATCATTAGATCCCCTATAGGTACATTTGTCTTCTAAGCCCGCTCTGTTTTGTCCCATTTTGCCAGTCAGTGTGGAGTTTAAGTGGAACATTCACTATTATTTTTCTGGTGTTGACTCAACCCTTTCCTTTACATAATGGCTCTTCGGCTGACCTGAGGCTTTGTCTCTGCCCTGGGACATGTGGCCAGCGTGGCCACATAGCTCTGGGAGACATCTGCTCTGTGGCTGCAAGGGGCACAGACATGCAAATGCAAATCAGAATAGCTTGTCTGTTTCACACAGACCTTAGCAGCTTTCTGCTTTTAATTCCCTCTCATTTTCTAACTGTTAGCATATTACTGTTTAAAGTTTTATAGCTAAAATGCACTAACCAGTCACTGGAAAATACCAATTTAAAGTCTTGTCTTTTCTCTTCTGTCCCCATTGTTAACAGGCCTCTGAGGGGATAGGAGTGAGGTGGTGGCAGATGAACTGCTTTGATGGGTATGAGCAATCAGCAGGGAGCAGCATAATTGATGTCTGGCAAATGGAACCCTTTGGTGAAACTGTGTCGGCATCACACAGAGGGGTGATTAGTAAAGTTTAGAAACTTGACAGAATTACAGGGCCAAGCCCAGCAAAGGCACAGCATTACTGTGCTAGCTGCCAAGACAGAATAAAGACATCTTTTAGAGAGGCAAATGCAAGTTTTCTTCCTGGAGTTACCCAGCAGCCTGCATTTGAATATCCAACCGCAGCTGCTTCAGCTCTGGTGCTAGAGAAGCTTGAGGTGCCCAGAACTCCACCCTGTTAATACAGAAAAAGACATCATACATGCATGTTAAACCTACATGTGGTTAATACTGACATGAACATCATCCATACATGTTAACACATATACAGGCATCACATGCACACTGACGTGCACATTCATGTTACACACATGCATGTTAACACAGACATGAACATTATGCATGTTAATGCTGGCCTGGGCATTGTGCTGTTGTACATGCATGCTAATGCAGGCACATGCATGCATGCATGTGAATAGAGATATACACATCAGACAAGCAACAGGGGCAGCAAAGCTTCCTTCTCTTTGTTCTTTATTTCCTAAGGCTGAATTAAGTATCTCCACACACCTTTATTTAGATGCTTTATTAATATTAATATTATTTTGTTCAAGTCCCAACTACTTCAGGAACTGGGAGTGAAACTACTGGAGTTGCCATTTTTGACTATGAGCCCTTGAAAGTAAAAATTGGTAAGAACTTTGCCCATTGGCTTAAAAACATTCTCTCTTTTACTTTTCAAACCTAGCCCCTTTTATTTAATCCTAATATTTAACTATCAAGGAGTTACAGAGTTAAGGGAAGGGTATGTACACATACACATTTTTTTTCTTTTTTTTAAGTGGATACAAAATTAGGAGTCTAATAAACTTCTTTTTGAGAATTACCTACAAAAGTGTATTGAAAAGCCTTAAGTCTTGATTGGCCATTTTTCTGCCAAAGTTAGTGGTGGTACATCAGTAATAAAGGGTTATTCCTTTTCTTGAACATCTTTTTTACATTTTAAACCAATTTCATTGAGATCTAATTTTTATATAAGATTCCTATATTTTAAGAGCCTGGCTTGATGTACTTGATGACAAATATAGACACCCATGTAACTACTACCCCAATCAAGATACAAAGCATGACCATCAGTCCAGAACAATCCCTCCAGTCCCGTTCCCAGTAACCACTGTTCTGCTTTCCATCTTCTTTGTCATTTTTATCCTATCTTCTCTGACTCTCGGCTAAGCGAGTGGAAATGTCCCTCTCTTGAGTGTAGCTCAATATCCTTCTTTAAGGATTTTATTTATTTATTTTTAGAGAGGAAAGGGAGGGAGAAAGAGAGAGAAACATCAATGTGCGGTTGCTGGGGGCCGTGGCCTGCAACCCAAGCATGTACCCTGACTGGGAATCAAACCTGCGACACTTTGGTTCGCAGCCCACGCTGAATCCACTGAGCTATGCCAGCTGGGTCAATATCCTTCTTTCAGGCCTTTGTAGCAGAATAAATTGACATTCAACTACACATTTATAGTAACGTCTCTTTTTAAAATTAAATTACATTATCCTTTGACATCAAGAAATAATAATAATTACCAACACTTAAATTTTATCTTACAATTTTTTAAAGATGTTCCCATAATTTTATTCAATGTGATCCTTACAACAGCTCTGCGAGGGACAGAGGCCCTGTGATTGTGTAGTCGAATCTCACAGAGAACTCAGGGAGGCTAAGCGACTTGCCCAAAGACACATGATCAGTTGCAGAGCAAAGACCCAAACCAGGGGTGAGCTAGTGAACCAGCTCTCTAACATTTACTAAGCAAATAAACCCTGATTTGTATAGCATTTGCCAATTCCTGTGATATAAATACTCCCACCATAGCCAATGACATCACTCAGCCTGCCTTTGGGAAGAGGTGCACATACTTGGCTCCTACAAAGTGAAAAGAGCTTCTGCTCCACTGAAAAATTCAGGTTTCTAGCTCCAGATCTCTTTCCATGCTCCTTGCTGCCTCTCTACATGAGAATAACTCTTATCTCATATTTTTTATTTTTTAGGATAATTTGTTATGCTAAAGTTATTCAATGTTTGTAAATGAAGTCCATACCTATAGCCTCTATTGAAAATCCCTGTCCTAGGCATTGGTTCCCGAGCCATCAAACCCACGCTGGGACTGATTGACCCTCTGCACACCCTGCATATGCCTGACCGGGTGGTCGCCAACAGTGGCTTCGATGTGCTTTGGTAGGTACCTGGAGGGACATTTTCAGTGCCTGCATCTATGGACAGTATTTTCTTTTCTTTTTCTTTCTTCCTTTCCCCGCCTCCCCCCTCCCACCCTCCAATAATGAAAACCTTTATTACATGAGCTGAAATAGGAGGGAAGATTTATTTGCCTTTCTGGGCCTTGATTTGCCTCAGATAGAACTCCAGCTCCTTGCCCTGGAGCACGAGCCATCTGCTTGTCCACACTGGCCTGGTCTTGGAGCAATGTGTGCAAGAAGCTTGCCCTGCTGGAACTGCTCCTCTAGAAAATGGCTGATTGTGGCATTCTTTTTCCTTTCTTCATATTTTTCCTGAATTTTCCTTGATCTCTTTTTGTTTGAAGTCTCTTCTTCACTCAGGAGTCAGTTTGGCCCTTGTCTTGTGGCCCAGGGACAGACAGTGCATAGTGGGACTCATACCACTGTCGGTATGGTGTGCTATCAATAAGCACGATGCAGTTCTTTGCTAGGGTCTTAGTACAAACAAGTTTATTGTTGAACACATTGTCGACAACATCAATACCCCTTGCATTGTGCTTATAACACTCTGAGTCCCAGGAGAAGTTGCCCACGTCCAACCTTAAAGCTCAGTACTTCCTATTGCTTCCCTGCATGCAGACTGCGTGTATGAGGCATGAGCCAATCAGTATTGGCAGCAGGGAGTCCCAGCTCATATTTTTGCTTTTTGTGGCAGGGCTTTCTCTTGCCCTCAGTCTTGTGGCACTTGTGCCAGTTGTTCTGAGAGATGCCTGTGGCTGGGCACCGGCTGGAAGAGCACAGTATTTTCTTAGTGAAAGTACTTACTAAGCATTCACTGATTAGCTCTCCACAGCAACCTCAGTGTAGACTGTCATTATCCCCTTTCCTAAATGAAAATAAAGATGCTGTTAGTGAGTGGCATGGTGAATAGGTGAGGCTCTGGGTGAGCCACAAACCTGCTGTTCAGGATGGACCACCCTAGCTGCAGCTGTGGCCACAGGGACAAACAAAAGGAGCAGTTAAAGCTGGCATGCCCCTGTGACTACACTAACCAGAGAACACCCAGGGTTGCCGCAACACGGAAGAGGGCAGGGAGAGAGCCGACATTCCCTGAGCTGGACTGTGCACACCGTGTCAGCACTTCATACTCATTATCACTTCATCACAGCTCTGTGCCCGATGAAAAGGAGAACTCTCTTTGAGATGTTTAGTAACTTGCCCATAATTATATTGTGAGCTCCATGGGCTTCGGCTGCTTTGTGTGGTGGCTCCCTAATCGGTGGCTTCTACCACAGACCTCACTGCGGAGCTCCAGGCCATTCATTCCAGTGGCTTCACGGAGGTCCCATAGGCACTTCACACCATAGGCACTTCATACCAGCATGTCCCAAACTACCCTATTTCATCCATTTGTACATGCACATTTTTTCATATTCTAACATCTCAAATCAGAACATACTTAAAATCGGTGGCATGGTATAGGGTTTTCTTCTCCAGTGGTGCAGTTTTTTAAATGGTACATTTTATAATGCATAGCATCTTAAATTTGATGAAATCTGATAATTTTCTTAATTTCCACCTCCCTCCCTACCCCCTGCCTCAGCCAACATACCTCACAACTTCTCCTCTGAGTCTCTTACCTTAGTGAGCAACAGGACTCAGTAGGGATGCCTCCTTTCTCTCATGCCCACAATAGCCATCAGACCCTCTACCTTGTCCTGCTGAATCTCTCAGATCTGCTCCCACCTTAATGCTCCTGCCTTGGTTTAGGCCTACCCCAGCTTTTGCCTGGATGGTTGCAGTAGTATCCTCATCAATCTGCTTGCTTCCATCCCATAGTCCTTCTGTCTATCCTCCAGATAGGCCTCACCAAACTTGCAGAATGCAAGATGACCATCAATATACACACACACACACATATACAACTCTACCTTACAAGTCTTTCAGTGGCTTCCCACACCTAAGGTCCAAAGGTAAATTTCTTTGGCCCCGGGATATCGCCAATGCTCTGCTCTTTATCTGCTTGTATAACTGATCTTCCAGTTCCACTGGAGCATTCTGTCCTTGATGGAGCCTTTGCTGACCCTGCCCTCCCCTCTCCTCGAGTACAACCGACCATTCCATCCTTTGCACTTCCCCACTGGGGGGCCTGTACATTGCTTCTGAGACACCTCTCTTTTCACATGCCTGTCTCCTCAATGCACTGTGACCTTGGTGAGGATAAGACCATCTTACTCACTTATGTACCCCTGCCCCTTGGCACATCATAGCTGTTGAATGAAGTTTGCACAAGCAGGAGGCAGCAGAGTTAGTATTCAATTCCAGGTCTATCCAAGTCTGTGGTCTGCTTTTCTCCCTACATTATGCTGCCTGCCAAAAGATTGTACAAAAGTGTTTTCTACTCTGTCTTGGCCAAAGGTCAACTTGGAAATAAGGGAAATAAGAGTATCCTCCTTAACTGGAAACTACCTAATAAATATATAATGGACCAAAGAAGTCACCTTTAAGCGAATGACAAACAAGCCCAAAGACTTCACTGTCAATCAAAAAGGTATAGGGGTGGGCTCAGAAAAAAAAAAAATTATGGTACTTACTCTTCCAAGTACTTTCTGCAGAAGAGAACCACTGGCCTGAAGTCTCTACCCCTGGTCCCCAGTGGCAAGTTCTGGAGATAGACACACCCATGTATTTGACCTTAGAGGCAATTCCCTTTGTAAGGACTTCATGGTCCTTCTGATTTGAACTAGCATCCATAGGACTTGCCAACAGGGAGAAAAGGTGCCCTCTAGAAGACTCAGGTGCCTGTACCCCTCAGCAGTTATATTTCTCTTTATAAATTTAATTGGACTTTCAGATTTTATACATAGTTTCTGTGAGCTCAGCTTGGTGAGACAGAGCTGCTCTTGGGTCCAGAATCAAGATACACGCAGGGTACCTCAGTGGACCTCACCACCCTGTCCTCTTCTCATGGACACCTTATTCTTGCATTGCCCACAGAGTCCCTGTTTAGAACCACAAAGCCATAGCACCTGTTTTTACCAACTAATTTTTTAAAAGTTCCAATGCTTTGTTCAAAAGATGTTACCTGCTTCTCAAGTATAGCAGAAAGGAAATTCTCCATTCCAAGACTGAAAACTATAATTAATGCAAAAATCATTCATGTTATATTGTGTTCCCATGCATCATTGATCTGGATGGTTATGTTTATTATTATCTTCAGCAGTGGATTAGCCAGAATTGGTGGCTGGCTAGCAGTGGGTGGAAACTCTGAAGCTTGGGTGTTGAAATAGCCAACCCTGAATTTAGGGCGCTTAAGGAAGAAGAATTGGATTTTTTTTCAGGACAAGAATTAATACTAACAGTAAATAATAAGTTTTACAATGTGCTGCTACCATGTGCTAAGAACTTTACATGAGTCAACTCAATTCAACAGCAGCTCCAGAAAAATGTTGCATTGTTTATTCCCATCTTAGAATCACAGGGAGATGGTGACAACCTCCCAACCCCAGCCCACAGTGGAAAGTCCAGTGCTAGGATTTACACCTGGGCAGGTGACCCCAGGGTCAGTGTTCTCACTCCCTGCACTTACTCTTAATGGGAGGCTAGTGTAATTATGACCCTACTTGCGTAGTATAGTATTTGATTAATGCAAAGTATAAAATGATAAACATGCTTTAGGAGGAAATAACTTTTTTAGATTCAGTGCATTTCTTCATGACTTAAATATTTAAAAGTTTAACATGGTAAAGATTTGTTTGCACTAGAAGGGCTCAAAAACACGGCAGTGCTGTTAATGTAAGCTTCACTGTATTAATTTCTATAACAAGCAATGACTATTGTGGTCAAGAGTTGACCAGTGGAATGTATTGTGGTTATCAGTGCCACATAGCATATCCACAGTGAAGTGAATACATTTGTAATCCTAATGTTGGGAAGGAGGAAAACCACATGTTCAATCTGTGTATTTTAAATATTTCTTGTCAGCCATGCCCTGGAGTCCTACACTGCCCTTCCCTACCACATGCGGAGCCCCTGTCCTTCAAATCCCATCTTTCGGCCAGCCTACCAGGGCAGCAACCCAATAAGTGACATCTGGGCTGTCCACGCCTTGCGGATCGTCGCTAAGTATCTAAAGAGGTATGCCACCGAGAAAGGATAAAAATAGAAGAGGAAAATCACATTCCACCTTTACATAAAAGTAGCATGCCCAATCCTGAGACGTCTTCAGTAAATCTCTTCACCAAAAGTCAGTCTGGGGATGCAGAGAAGCATCTGCAAACTTCTGGGAGCATGAAGTGTGGGGAGTAGGGGGACATGTGATGACAGGTGAAAACTGGGTCCTTTAGTCTAAAAAGGACCAAAGACTAAAAAGGGGCAAAATAGGAGACTCTAATTTATGAAAGAGGCAGATACAAGGCTTATTCACTGAAGCCCCCAAACCAAAGCTAGGATGAGGGGAGATGTCCTTGAGATCTGGCTACCAAAAGCAGACAAGAGAACCACAGAGGCACATGTGGGCTGTGCCCGTCTGGGCCCAGGGCAAAGGCATACTCAGATGAGCTATATTTAAGAATTAAATGTGTGGAGTTGTCTGTCCCGGGAGATATAAAAGGCTTCCTAAAAGGTTATGCAAGATTTGTGAATGACATAGGTATACTAGGCCCCTGGGTGAGCAAATAGATACTTAGAGGTGAAAGCTGACCCTTGAGACATGAAGACATCCACAAAGTCAGACTCACTTCTGTATTTATACATAAAGGAGGGAAAGAACATGGCAAGTTAGGCCTTGATGTGAGCATGGCTCCTCCTCTGACCCTGAGCTGGAAGCTACCCTGAAGAGGAGACTGGACGGCATTTGTGACAGAGCCAAGGGGAAGGGACGCCAAACTATTTCAGACTCGTGGGGATCACTGGGAAGCACAAAAGCATTTGATTTGGTAGAAGCAGATACAGGTAACTGTCAGCTGGTGTGTTCTGGCAGGAGCAGAAGGTTTGGCAGAGTAGCAGTGGACAGAGGAAAGGCTGAAGCTCCATCATCAACTCTTTCATCTTGTTATTCGGGGAACACAGAGCAAATACCGGGTTTTGGAAAGGAGACTCAAACACTCAGCCATTTCAAATGACGGGGGTAAAAGGCCATGGCACTCTTATTTCATAACAGGAACCCTTCACTCCAGGCACATTGCAAGCAAGTGAGAAGTGGTGTGCTTGCCAGTCTTAGGCTTCCTCCCTAGGGCAGGGTTTCCACACAGAGTGTGCAGGAAGGCTGAGCTGCTTCTGAAAGGGGCCTTTGAGGATTTGCTTTTCCGAAGTGGCACTGGGGACAAATAGAGCAAGCAAAAGCTGGTCCTACAATAACATCCCACTTCCACAATAATAAAGATTAAAATAACATGTGCAGTTTCCACAGATAACATAAGAAGCCTCCAGTGGGCCCAGCTGGGGCAGTGTCACAGAAAGAAAGATGGCTGGGCGGGCTGCATGTAGCCTGCAGGTAGCCCCAGGCGACAGGGACTCACTCCAGTAAACCCGTCTGGGCCCTGTGCATTCTGAGTGTATGTTTACTTTAAGGCCATTCACAGCTGCAGTCAAGGTCATTGACAAATGAAGAAGAAGAATGAGTCTCAGGGCACTTTGCTAGAGCAGCTCTCACAATCCAAGGGTCAGTGCTCTGCTTCCCCTGGCGCTTTTATCACACAAGCAGCCTGACAGTGTATTTATTATGCCTCTGCTGAAACCATTGATGAGAAAATGTTTACCCTCAGTTTTCCTTTAGAAGACAAGATGGCGTTTGAATAAGTTGCCTAATTTTTCTTTCTACCAAATAGCGTTTCTTTTTTTCCAGATTTTTCCCTAAGGTGGCTCTTTATTCGGTAGGAAATGCCAATGTTGATGTGTTATTGTTAGGTATTTATATCATCCACAGGGCTGTCAGAAACCCTGATGATCTAGAAGCAAGGTCCAATATGCACTTGGCAAGTGCTTTTGCTGGCATTGGCTTTGGAAATGCTGGTGTTCATCTGTGGTGAGCAAATTTAAGATTTTATTTCTTCACCTAAGCTATGGCTTCTTAATTTTTAAATGTTTATAACTTAGGACAGGTGTTAAGATTTCAACATGTTATAGAAAGAAGATATTTAACTTAGCATCCTGGAATATTCTCTTAATTCAAATGTAGTTTATTGGGTTATAAGGGTTTTTTTTATTAACAATTTTATTGAAATATAGTTCACATACTATATAATTCACCCATTTAAAATGTACAGTTCAGGGGTTTTTAATATATTCACAGAGTTACCATTACCACAATCAATTTTAGAATATTTTATCACCCAAAAGAAAAATTCTATACCCCTTAGCTGTCACCCACCAATCCTGCTATACCCCCAGCCTCAAGCAACTACTAATCTACTTTCTATCCATAGATTCATCTATTCTGGACATTTCATACAAATAGGATCATAAAGTATCTGGCTTTTTGTGTCTGGCCTCTTTAACTTAGCATAGTATTTCCATGGTTCATTCATGCATGTATTAGTACTTCACTCCATGTTATTGCCAAGTAACATTCCATTGTGTGGGTATAACACATTTTATTTATTCATTCACCAGTTGCTGGACAATTGAGTTGTTTCCGCTTTTTAAAAAATTTTATTTTAATCATTCAAGTACAGTTTTGTCTCCACTTTTTGGCTATTGTGAATAACACTGCTATGAATGTTCGTGTACAAATTTTTGTATGGACATATGTTTTCATTTGATTTATATGCCTGAGAATGGAATTTCTGGTAATTTTATGTTTAGATTTTGAGAAACTTCCAGGTTGTGTTTTCACAGCAGCTGCATCATTCTACATTCTCACTAGCAGTGGCTGAGGGCTCTGATTTCTCCACATCCTCACCACATATTGTGGATTTTTAAAATCCACAAAATGTAGATATTTTCTTCTAATCTCTCCCAAAAAGAGAGATCAGAATCTTTGCCATTAGCCCAGAATTAACCTGCTTAGTCAGAACTTTATTGGTATATTGCCTTAAAATGGAAAACCAGTGAACACTGAGGATTAAGAATAGGCCTTTGCCAGGGAGGGAACAATAAAATAAATGGTCACCCCCAAACTCTGCTGCTTAGAAGCACACCGATTATCACTCTTCCCAAAAAGCAGGTGAGCAAAATCTACCAAAGTTTGAAAAATGTGTTTACCCTTTGTCCCACTAATATTACTTCTAGAAAGGTATCCTAAAAACAAATAATCATATGACCAAAGTGTTTTCTTATAAGAATAATCACCTAAGTGTTATTTATAACTGAAAAACTTGGAAACAACCTAAATTTCCTGCAGTTTGGGAATGGTTAACTAAAGAGCAGTACTTAAAGAATAAAATAAGGCTATTAAAAATAATGTTTTAGGCCACAGCTGGTGTGATTTGGTTAGGCATTGTCCTGCAACCCGAAAGGTCACCGGTTGATTTCTAGTTGGGGCACATGCCTGGGGTGCAGGTTCAGTCCCATGCCGGGGCACATACAGAAGGCAACTGATGGATGTTTCTCTGTCACATTGATGTTTCTCCCCATCTCTTTCACCCTCCCTTTCCCTCTAAATCAAAATAAAAATAAAATTTAAAAATAATGTTTTAGAAAACTACAAAATGATATGGGAAAATGTTTACAAAGAATATTAAGTAACAAAAGCATTGTTTAAAACTGAATGCACAGTAGGATCATATATTAAAGATATGCATAAGAAGGTGAGAAGGAAATAATTCTATAACAGTTATTTTGAGGAAATGGGATTATGGGTTATATTGATGTTTTTACAAAGAACACATATAACTGTTAAAATAAAAGAAACAAGCTAAAATATTGGCTATCATCAGAAAGGTACCCTTGAAGTCTGCACGAACCCTTTCACATCATGAAAACACACTTAGCAATAATTTTCCGAATACTCTGGAGCCTGGGAAAGATAAAACACACTCCAAAATACCCAACACATCAGAGGACCCATAGCTTCTGATCTGCCTTGTAAAAGATGATAGGCAAAGGTAACCTTTTTTGAGGGGGATAGATAATTACAGAGTTCACCAAAAACTTCATTTTCTGTGAAATGTAAATCTTTTGGTGAACAAGCACAAAGCTATCCAATAACCCATATTAATTGACTTACAGACCATCTTACTATTATAAAACATTTTATTTTTAATATATTAATTGTAACTTTATTAACTTCTCACAATGTATATTTTGAGTCATCTGTTAAGCTATAGTATTATCCTATATGTTCATTACGAATTCAAGAGGATATAAAAAGGTTTTCCATTAAAGCAACCTTCACCCTCTCCCCAGACTCCCACAAATGAAAACCATGGTGCCTTTTCTGGTAAGTCTTTCAGGCTAGAAAAACCATTTATGATTCAACTCCATTAGTATGTAACACTCAGAAGGCTGTATCAGTTATTGGTGGCACAGATCACTGGCAGGTTAACTTGCATAGCCAATGCAGCACATCTCGGTTCATAAACTCCCACCAGCGTGGTCAGCCTGTGCAGGAATGCACTGACAGAATACTGCAGAGTGAGACAGAAAATGCATGCCCTGAAACTTATTAAAGGAACTTCAAAGTGAATTTTCAATTTCTTCAAGATTATAAGGTTAACCAATGTATTTGGAGAGAATTTTCTGCATCAACATATTTTAATGGCATACAATTTTGTAAGCATTTGAATTCAAACATTTCAGAGCTTTTGTTATGAATAACACCAAATATCAAGCGTATAACAATATATCCTTATAGCAAAGAAAGCAGAATGTATAACTTGTGAGACTGTGAAGGGCTCTCCCATAAGAGATCTTTGTATTGACTTGAATTTCTGGTATCTGCATGTCAACATAAAGACTTTTTTTCTTTTCTAGCCATGGAATGTCTTACCCAATTTCAGGCTTAGTGAAGACATATAAAGCAAAGGATTATAGCGTGGATCACCCATTGGTGGTAAAATCATAATAACTTCTTTAATTAAACCTTACATTCCCTGAAACTGCTATAAATTTTTTGTCAATTCTTGATTGCTTGGAGTACAGGATAAAGTAATTTAATATCTAAGAGGCAGATGAAAGACCACCTTGCCCCATTGGTCACCTGTTTTCTTGCTCCGCAGCCTCATGGCCTGTCTGTGGTGCTGACCTCCCCAGCCGTATTCACTTTCACAGCACAGATGTTTCCTGAGCGGCACCTGGAGACCGCAGAAATATTGGGTATGAACCATTGTTCACAATTCTCTGACCCACATAGGGGGAGCATTTCCTGGGGTTGCTTCTGAAGATAAACCATAAAAAGTAATACTTTTTTAAAAAAATGTTGCTTTGAGATAGTTTAATAATAATGTCACTGATCTGCTCCAGGTCCTGTCTAGCACTAAAATTCTTTAGGTTTGTGTATCTAATAGCTTGTTACCAATGAAATGGAACTAAATATTGCTTACGTTTAGAATAATCATATTTCCACTTTTCTTCATCAAGGAAATGAAACTCTGTACATACTGCAAAATGTTATAAATGGCTGTTAGTATTTTTAATAGGTAATGAAGTGAATTTAATTCCCAATTGTAGAGAGTCTAAACAATTGGAAACCTTCTAAAAAGATCACCAAAGAGGAATATCTTGCTGCTCTGTAGAATAAGTAATGTCTATAATAAGATGCCAACAGTGCCTTTTGAATCTTAGAAGAAATAAAATATATTCAGGATAGTGTAGTTAAGTAAAATTTTGGTATTTTTCTAAAACAAGAACTCTTTTAAGTAGATGAGTATTTTTTCTTAACTTTCCAGACATCTTATTCCTCTACTTGTATTTAGGGTAGGAAGGGAAAGTCTAAAAAGAAAACTTCATTATGCTCCCCTAGCACCAGCTGTTGGAGAGAGATTTCCAAGAAGGTAGGAATGACCACAGACATCCTTCCATGGGGCTGCTCCACTCTAGCTTCTCTCTGACACTCTGACATTTGTGCTTTTTGCTGAGTTCCAGTGCTGGGCTGAGAATGTCACAAAAGAAGTCTGGGGCAGAGGAGCAGTGCTGGGGGCTTGGTTTTCCAGCAAGTGCTGTCGGAAATGTGGTGCCAACTTTACCAAGGATCTTATGTCCCTTTTCCCTTTGGGACTAGAGATGTAGTTCACCCATTTGTTGGGACTCAGATGCCTTTGTTAATATGCAAACACTGTATGTAAATAGGCAGGAGCCCAAATAGTAGGCTAAATGGATGATAAATAGGAAAATCTGAGAGAACTTACAGCTAACATTCTAGACAATGAACAAAATTACTGAAAAAAGCAATTTCTCTGTTAGACAAAACCCTAGCAGGAAGAACCCACCAATTCTTCTCACATCAGAAATTTTGTTTAATATTAATTCTACACTTAGTCATTAATATTTCAATTCCCTAAGTAATCTTAGATTTTCTTAGCTTTATACAAATGTATTCTCTTTCTTTACCCTCCCTTTTTCTTTAAAACACTTCACAGGAAACCCCAGATGTTTTCATGGTGTATTTTATGGCAGAAATCCAAGAAAATAGAAATCTCATAACACTCGTATCGAGTATCACATCTCCACCTACTCCGTGTTTTAGCTGCACCGCATAACCGAGACTGGTCTTGTCAGGCAAGGTTATGCCCCATCCAGCTGCTCCACCAGCCAGCCCTGTATCTGGTTCTATTTATCCTTTCCTGGATTACTAAAACAGTTCCCACTGTCCTAGAAGACTAAGAGGTTAAAATTGATTTAATAATGTGCTTCAGTGTGGAGGTGAACTGTGCATTCTAGTCTCCTTTTGAACAAGACAGAAAAAGTGAACGTGGATGGCAGCAGAGGCATTTGGGGTAATAACTAATGCTACATTCCACCTGTAAATTGCTTCACTTTAGGGCAGTGGATGTATTCAACTAGGATAGATGGGGTCAGGGGTGCTAAGGTTTTGGGATCAGTTCCCTTCATCTGGGAACCTTCGCTGCCACCTTTCCTGAGGGTGGAACCCCTGGCTCTTCCAGGTTGATGTCTCTATAATTTTGTGTATTAATCATTAATCATGTCCAAAATTCTGTCCTTTCAAATCTCCAACCCTTGGCAACCTTCTCTCCCTTCACCAATATCATTATCTACATATTAAAAACTGTTTTCTGAGACTCTCCACATTCCTGGTTCTGTCTGACTAGTTCTGTAGTATTTATTTAGAGGAACCTGCTTTGCCCCTTGGTAACAAAGTCCAAAATAAAAACACTTATAGAGAGGAAATACTTCTTTCCCTGGTTATACATAATCCATTTTTGTCATTTTCTTCCTTTTTTGGCAGTTAGTGTTGGAATTTTTGTACTTACATATATCCTTGTCTCACAAAGTGTTTTTGCAAAGGGTTTGTCTTTTCCTTAGATGTTGCTGTGAGACAAGACACTGAACGTGTAAAACCTCTAGATGTCAGCAAATCGCAAGCCTTGAAAGTTACATAAGCTGTGTTTTCTGCTACAAATGCTCCTTCTTCCTCAGCCAAACACCAGCCTTCTTTCTTGGTCTCCTTCCTGCGCCTCTTTTCTTGGCTCTGTTCCTTGTCGTCCCACCCCACAAAGGGTGAGCAGCCCTTTGGAAAGGTGAGAGCCAGGTTAGCCGCCCCAGCGACTTCTCTGCACTGGCCTGGCCCATCTGTCTTCTGTGGGACTGCCCGCTGGGCCAGCCTCCAGGTGGAGACACATTGGTGCCCTTGTGCTCCGTGTGAGGGAGCCAGCAGTAGGTTATATATCAGCTATCGTGGGACTGAATTACACCTAGGGCCAGCTTCCTCCTCCATCTACAGTCAGCGCTTTGTGTCTTCTAGGAGCCGACACCCGTACTGCCAGGATCGCAGATGCTGGGCTTGTTTTAGCTGACACACTCCGGAAACTCTTATTCGATCTGGATGTGGATGATGGCCTAGCTGCCATTGGTTACTCCAAGGTTGATATCCCTGCATTAGTGAAAGGAACGCTGCCCCAGGTAAGAGACGCAGTGCATCCTCACTCCCTTCTAGAAGCTGCAGGAAAGACGTGGTCCACTTGGCGCTTGATGCAGGAGCTGCAAACCCGGGGTCCTCTCGTGGCTTTCAGGTCTCCTCCACACCAGAGGGCAGCTCTCCCCTTCCCCAGAGGGTGGGGCCAAGGCTTCCTCACCTTTATATTCCTCCATAAAACTGTGGCATGTGTGAAACTTTTATGATGTAACTGAAAGGAGCCTTTATAAAAATTCAAGGCAAAAACAACCATATTGAGGTATGGCAAAATTTCTCTTTTCTCCATTTCTCCTCTTTTTGGAGTTCCCTGTAAAACTATATGAAGCTGCTACAAAAGAGCCACTAATACTGTTTTCCCTCATAAAGAATTACAGATTCCTACAATTTTGTGAAGAATAGACATGGTCTTTACAACTACCACAAAATCACTTTTTAACATATTTGGGAGATTAAATATTTTATACATATACATATAAAGTATATAACATACATATCTGTGTCACTTTGGGTCTTATTTCACTTATTTAAATGTTGCTAACAAATTCATTTTTTATTTATTTTTAAATATTTTATTTATTTATTTTTAGAGAAAGGGGAGGAGAAGGAGAAAGAGAGGGAGAGAAATATCACTGTGTTATCCTCTTTTGTGTCCTCCAAGTGGAGACCTGGCCCGCAACCCAAGCATGTGCCCTGACTGGGAACTGAACTGGTGACCCTTTGATCTGCATGCTGGCACTCAGTCCACTGAGCCACACCAGCCAGGGCTACATGTTGCTAAAGAATGTAAACTGAGCTGCCACCCTATATTTGGTAGAGGAATCATAATAGATGTAGAGTTTCTCCTCTGGAGGTTCTCATGAAGAGAGTTTGTTCCCCATCAGACGTCTTTTCCATGTAGGATCAGATACCCTGGTGCTATAGCATCAGATCCTAACAGGTGAAAACCTTACAACAGAGAGCCAGAGCCACGAGTGCTCAGTCTGTGGAACACACCATGCTCACCATGTGGAGTGCTCGTTTAGTCCTCCTGTCCAGAATGAGAAAGGCAAGATCACTTAAACATTATGAGGACATGAAGAGAAGGCATGTGTGCCCAAAGGTATTCACACATCTATGCCTGAATTTTGAACAGAGTTAACAGCTGGAATATCCACTCACACAGCATCCTGCTCAGTTAAGAAAGGGCTTTACACTAGCTTCATCCTCACTTAGCAAATGCTTAGAATGTTGAAGACCTCAGCTCAGATAAGATAATATTTGTATGGGTTTACTCCTGTCCACAGGAGCCAGGAAGGTAACAGCAATGAACAAAGCAATTTAAGGCAGTAGTGAATGGTGGGAACTTTGGTGAAATGGAAAGCACATGGCTTATTTCATTGGGTAAGCCTCTTTTCAACTAAAATTTATTATCTTCAAGTAGAAATTCAGATCCCAGTGTTGGTAGAACTTTCAATTTTCACAAAATTCACAATCTGAGTATCTGCGTTGAATTCCCTCATTTCCCAATGTACAAACCATACATGGCCCATGGGTCATCAGTTTCCCTGACTCAGACTGAGGATTAGTCTAAATGGACTCTGTTGCATCTAAAAATACAAATGAATGAGAAAAAGAGGAGTCTCAAAGTGTAGCAAAGCTCCTAGACTAACTCACAAATTCTGGGTCCTAACCCACAAGTCCCAGGGACTAAATGAACAAAAACCATGACTGTCCCAGTTATTCCATCCAAATCTACTAGACTGTGAGTTCCATGAAGGTTGGAACCTGCCTCATTTGGTCATCCACCCTCTATTGCATCTGTCTTGGGCTAGTAAACATGTTAAACGAACACATACCTGCAGCCCTCTCCTCCTAAACCTTCTGTCTAGGTGAGCTTAATGGATGAATGGTGGTAACTTTTTGAGAAGTTTTCTTAGATTTAATAGAATTCAACCAATGACAAGGAGCCATAAAAGCCTGTCTAGGGACACCAGAGACCAAGCAGTCATCACGATTTTGATGTAGCTCTGGCTCTTATGGTCCTAATGATAGTGTCCTTCTGCAAAGGGTCCTCTGAAAAGTTCTGCTTATATAGCCCAGGAAAGTGTTCAGGAATATGTGTTTGTCAACCTCTGTGAATGGTATCCATGATTTTCAGATGAAACTGTATGATTTTTTTGGCCATTTAATTGCTGGTGGCAATGCATCTACCAGCCATCAGGGCACATTGACACACGTTTACTGTTTTTTGTTGTTGTTGTTGTTGTTCTTTTTTTAATATATTTTATTGATTATGCTATTACAGTTGTCCCATTTCCCCCCTTCACTCCCCTCCACCCTGTACATCCTCTCCCACCCACATTCCCCCCTCTTTAGTTCATGTCCATGTGTCACACTTATAAGTTCTTTACCTTCTACATTTCCCATACTATTCTTACCCTCCCCCTATCTATTTTCAACCTACATTCTATGCTACTTATTCTCTGTACCTTTTCCCCCCCCTCTCCTCCTCCCACCCCCCTGTTGCTAACCCTCCATGTGATCTCCATTTCTGTGGTTCTGTTCCTGTTCTAGTTGTTTGCTTAGTTTCTTTTGGTTTTGCTTTAGGTGTGGTTGTTAATAATTGTGAGTTTGCTGTCCTTTTACTATACATGTTTTTTCTTTATTTTCTTTTCTTAGATAAGTCCCTCTAACATTTCATAAAATAATGGCTTGGTGATGATGAACTCCTTTAACTTGACCTTATCTGAGAAGCACTTTATCTGCCCTTCCATTCTAAATGGGAGCTTTGCTGGATAGAGCAACCTGGGATGTAGGTCCTTGTCTTTCATGACTTGGAATATTTCTTTCCAGCCCCTTCTTGCCTGTAAGGTCTCTTTGGAGAAATCAGCTGACAGTCTGATGAGAACTCCTTTTTAGGTTACTGTCCCCTTATCTCTTGCTGCTTCTAGGATTCTCTCCTTCATTTTTACCTTGGCTAATGTAATTATGATGTGCCTTGGTGTGTTTCTTCTTGGGTCCAACTTCTTTGGGGCTCTCTGAGCTTCCAGGATTTCTTGGAAGACTATTTCCTTTGCCAGAATGGGGAAGTTCTCCTTTATTATTTGTTCAAATACGTGCTCAATCTGTTGCTTTTTCCCTTCCCCTTCTGGTGCCCCTATAATTCGGATGCTGGCACGTTTAAAGATGTCCTGGAGGCTCCTAAGCTTCTCCTTGTTTTTTTTTTGAATTCTTATTTCTTCATTCTTTCCTGCTTGGTTGTTTCTTTCTTCCTCCTGGTCCACTGGTCCACTCTATTGTTTTGAGACCCAGTTTCCTTCCCTTCACTATTGGTTCTCCGTGCACCTTCCTTCATCTCTTTTATGGTAACCTGCATTTTTTCATCTAATTTGTGCGCAAAATCAACCAATTCCGTGAGCTTTCTGATCACCAGTGTTTTGAACTGTGCATCTGATAGATTGGCTATTTCTTAGTCGCTCAAAAGGATGAGTCCTGATCTGTTCTTCTGTTGGACACATGTCTCTCTCCCTGTCTCTCTTTTTATTTTTCCGGTCTGGTCGCTCTTGTTACAGTGGGGGGCGGAACCTTAGGTGTTCACCGAGGCTGGGCACCCCCAGTCGCTAGATTGTGACGTTATATGTGGGGGCGGGAGCGGGGACGGGGATGGGAGGGAACAATGGCGGTATTTCCATTCTCCTGGGATCTCAGTCCCTTCTCTGGTATCCGGGGTTGCGAGCTCTGCCGTGGTCCACAATTGCCGCCTCACTGGGTCCGCCAGCCGCTGCTTGCATACTCAGGGATCACCACTGCAATCTTGCACCCCGGATGGCTTACTTGCCAAGTTCGCACCAAGTTCTCCCCTACCTCCTTGCACCACCGACCCGTGCCCACCTGGCTCCTCCTCTCCGCTCCTCCTACCGGTCTGGATGAACGGGTCTACTTCAACTTCTTGGCTGTCCAACTTCCATTCAGATAAATTCTCTATCAGTTCTGGGTGTTATTCTTGCTCTAAATTGTTGTAGTTCTAATCTTGGTTGTGCATGGAGGTGGGGTGCATCCACCTATGCCTCCATCTTGCCAGAAGTCATGCTTACTGTTTTAGTTCTGCTGTGCTCAGACTTCTACTTTCAGAAGCTGTTCCAGATTAACAGTTGAGACCATCCACTAAAATAGCAAGTTGAGTAGGTATCAGTCTGAATGCCACAGAGTACATGTCATACTGGGAAATACCAATAGCAAAACCTTAATTAGACAAAACTAATTTCTTTGTTTCACAAAAGATGCAAGATAAATTGAATCTTTGGAATACAAGTCATGTTTATAAAGTAGGACTCCCTCAGGCTGTCCCAGCAGGCATGCTGCCTTTTTTTTATTGTGTTAGAAACACAGTTAATTTGAATTAACTGTCACATTTGGATTAACACAGTTAATTTGAATTAACTGTCACATTTGGAGTCAATGTCATATATATGATATATATAGAGAGAGATAGCTATATAGATATAGATAGACATACAGATATATAGGTATACATGTAGATAAAGAGAGAGGTATATTGATAGGGCTTTAGAAGGAATCTTAGAAATAAGCTTGTCTTACAAATGAACAACTACTATGGGTTTTTTGTTGGGCAGCAGTAAATATTTCATAGGTGTACTATAGCTACTTCAGAACTTCTACATGCAGCGCACTAATCTTCACTTAGTATCTGCAGGATTTAAGGTAGTGAAGGGGATCTACTTACTCCTGCAAAAAAAGGTTATTTCATGTAGTCAACATCTGATAAAGCTTCTTTTATGTTCAGAGGCGAGGGATTGGTTTTCTCTGGGAGGAACAACCAGGCCAGTATTCTTGACCAAACAGCCAGCTCATACTGGCAGCGGCAAATAGCAGTCCTGTGTGCAGAGGCTTCCAACGGCCATAGCCAGGCTGTGAGGGGAGCGGGCAAGAATAAATTAATCTTCCAAGCTGGATTTCTGAAACCTCTGGAAAGAAACATTTACATTTCAAATCAAAACATTTCATTACTGAGGAGACCTGTCTACCAAAATGAGTACTTCCACTCCCTGGCAGGCAGACCAGCTCAAATGTTGTTATTTTATGAATGTGCTAAAAGTAGTAGTCCAGATTTATTTCAGTGTCCATGTTAATCAGTTGTCTTTCGGTCTTACACATTGATAAATAATAGCACACTGCAGAACACATCTTAATTTTAAGAATTTAGCTGTTAGTGGCATCGATGACATGCATGAGGATATATCACAAACTACGTCCTTGCCCTGTTGAACCAGTCATTGGGAGTTAGAAATCTAAAAGAAAAACTCAGTTCAGCTTGGCCTGAAGTACTTCTGAGAGTCTTGAACTACTTCACCAAAGATGAACTGTATCATTTGAAGGACCCTTTGCTCATCCAGTAAGAGTCCATTATCAACAAAATAATGGGACATCAATCTTTGGCTGTAGCAAATGCTGAACTTCAGTTCTTGACCCTGCCACAAAGGTATATGTAGGTCACCGTGAACAAGTGTCTGCCTTGCTGTGGATTTTCAACATTCCTTAGTCTCTAAAAGATCAGCTGGGATATACAGTTTTACCTTGGCTCCACCCATACTTGGTCAGCGTTGTTCCCCCTCCTTCTGCCATCTGTCCATCCATTCTTCTTTTTTTAAGATTTATTTTCTTTATTTTTAAAAAGATTTTATTTATTTATTTTTAGAGAGAGGGGAAGGGATGGAGAAAGTGAGGGAGAGAAGCATCAATGATGTACAAGAGAAACATGGATTGGTTGCCTCTTGCACATCCCCAACTTGGGCCCTGGCCCCTGACCCAGGCATATGCCCTGACTGGGAATCGAATCTGCAAACTGAGCCACACCAGCCAGTGCAAGGTTTATTTTTTAAACTGTGATAAAATATACCCAACAAAACCAACTATTTTAACCAAAATTAATGCTATTTAATTTAATGCCATTAAGTATATTTACAATCTTATGCAACTATCACCACTGTCCATTTCCAGAACTGTTTAATCATCCCCAGTAGAAGCTCTGTTCTATTGTTTAATGGCAAATAACATTACTGTTGTCCCCTTTTACCCCTTTCCCCAGCCCCTGATAACCTCTATTTTACTTTCAGTCTTTATGAATTTGCCTATGCTAGGTACTTCATGTAAGTGGACTTATACAATATTTGCCTTATTGTTTTTGCCCTATTTCACTTAGCATAATGTCTTCAGTGTTTTATAATTCCATTCCTTTTTATGGCTGACTAATATTCCTTTGTGTGGCTATACCATATTTTGCTTGTTTGTTTACTTGCAGATAGACTCTTGGGTTGATTCCACCTCTTGGCTATTGCATATAATGCTGCTAAGAACATTGGTTTAAAAGCATCTGTTTTAGTCCCTAATTGCAATTTATTTGGGTCTGCTAGGAATAGAATTGTTGGATCACATGGCCATTCTATGTTAACTTTTTGAGGAACTGCCAAACTGTTTTCCACAGCGGCTGTACCATTTTACTTTCCCACCAACAGTGCACCAAGGTTCCAGTTTTTCCACAATCTAACACTTGTTAAACACTTTTTCTTTTAAGTGTATTTTATTGATTATGCTATTACAGCTGTCCCATTCTTTTTTCTCCCCATTTTCCCCTTCTACCTGGAATCCCTGCAGCATTCCCCCTGACTTAGTTCATGTCCATAGGTTGTACATATAAGTTCTTTGGCTTCTCCATTTCCTATACTATTGTTCACCTCCCCTGGTCTCTTTTGTACCTACTATTTATGCTTCTTATTCCCTGCACCTTTCCCCCCACTATTCTCCCTTCTCCCCCTCTCCACTGATAACCCTCCATGTGATCTCCATTTCTGTGATTCTGTTCCTGTTCTAGTTTTGATTAGTTTGTTTCTGTTTTTAGATCCAGTTGTTGATAGTTGTGAGTTTAAGAGGCTTTTCAAGTAGAACAGAGGACTGAAGGAGACTTAGATTTGGATTCAGGTAGAATGGGAAGTGGAAACAGTCAGATCTGGGATTTAGTTTTGTGGTTGGTCTGATAGACTTTGATGGATTTGACATGTAGAGAAAGGGAAAGAAGAATCAGGGATGACTACTGGGTTTTTGCCTTATTGCCTGGGTGTCATTTCTGAGATAATGAAAATGTATGAATTTTGACATGCCAATATCCCCTCTCCCACCATCTTCATTAATTCAACAAATAACGGTTGAGGGCCCATTTACTGTGTGCTGAGCACTCCGGGAGGTGCTAAGCATGGAATGAACATAGCCCTTCCCTCATGGAGCTTCCCTCTTCTACCAGCTGTTCTCCCAAACAAGTGCTAACCACAAAAAAAAAACAGACTGAGAGACCCATGAAAATGGAACCCCCCAAACTGCTACATTTCTTAATTTTATTTAGGCCCAGAAATTTGGACATAGTCATTATAGTATCTTTTAATCCCTTGTTCCAGAGGCATCAAGGAGCCACTGGGACAGGGGATTATACAGGAGTTTAAATAGCCAAAGCATGTGCTGGCTAGCTTTGCTAACTTGACTTAGCAATCATTGGAAAATTAAGCAAGTCACCGAATGTGTTTGGGAAGGTAAAGATAAAACCTTAGTTAATATTTTAAAAGGAGCCACTTGTTGCCTGTAGCCTGAAAGTTATGTCTTAATGAAATTCTTTTGAATATACCTGAAGTCCAAGTTGCAAAATATATAGTCTTTGAAGTCAGGGGCAGCTGGTTCTGTGTCATTTGGCTGCATATGCTGTGCCTGGGACAGGGCTCTCTGCACACGGAAAACTGGCTGAGGTTGCTGACCAATGCTGTTTGGTCATTATAGGAGCTGTTTTTCCCAAGGTTGGTTTGGTTCTGTACATTTGGGCAGAAGGCTATTGCCAGGGCATAAGGCAAGGACAAGAAGGCAAGGTATAAGGCTTTTGAAAGCTGTACGGCATAGGGAATTTAGTCAGTAATAGTGTTAAAACTGTGTATGGTGTCAGGTGTATACTTGAAATATTGAGGGGGTCACTTTGTAAAGTATATGATTGTCTAACCACTATGCTGTACACTTGAAACTAATACAAAATAATTTTTAATGTAAACTACAATTTAAAAAAAGAAAGCTTTGTGTGAAAGAGGCATCACTTTGATAAACTTCTGAGTTGCAAATCAGCTAGTATGAAGCAAACAAGAAATATGAGTTTTAAAGATACAACTATTATTAAGTCATTGTTTCTTATGCCCAAGTTCATTTGCACAACCTAGTACCTTTTACAAACTGTCTTTTCAAAGCCCTGAGTAACTCCTTTTGTTTAATGTTTCAGGAAAGGGTCACCAAGCTTGCACCACGCCCTCAGTCAGAAGAGGATCTGTCTGCCCTGTTTGAAGCTTCAATGAAACTGTATTAATTTTTCTTTTTACTAAAAGAATTAGTATCAGCCCTCATAGTTCTGAAATGAGAAGTTGGTCTAGCCAGAGCTTTGTCTTCTCATCTCCATACATAACTTATCTATTACCAGTTTGAATGTGATAATAAAATTATCCTACAGAAGATTCCAAGACACACAAAGTCAAGCTACTTCCATAATACCAGCTAGAAAAATGCCCCCAGCATTGGACCCTAGTTTGTGTTCCTGCCCTAAACTCTGCAGACCACCCCTGCTTCATATATCAAGTGGGTAAAAACTCAGTGTCTATCAAAAGTCTTAATGTACATTTTTGCCCAGTAACCCATGTCTAAAAATTTATACTGTAAAAGTACTCACATGAATGTGTAAAGAAATACAGCAAGGATGTTTCTGGCAGCACTTTTTCTAATAAAATATGAAAGAACCTAAATGTTCATTAATAATATATTGATAAATAAATTGCAGTATATTAAATAATGGAGTGCCATCATGCTATTAATAAGAATGAGGTAAAACTATTGGAAATATGTTTGTGATATACTGCTAAGTTGGAAAAAAGTAAGTTGCAGAACAATTATATATTAGCATGGTCTGATTTTTATGTTTTTAATTATAAATAAATGTATGTCTATATATACATAGAAAAGAAGGATACAACCAAAATATTAAAAGTTATCACTGTGGAAATGGAATTTAGGACAGAGAGAATTCAAATATTCACTTTATATTTTATACTTTCACTTTTTATTTTATGAACATTTATGTTGTTTGGATTTGTTATAACAGCATAGATCTTCTCATCTGAAAGGGGGGAAGAAAAGAAATAAAAATATCACTACAGTTTTAGGTCAGATTTATCATATTTTATAAAAATACTAGTAATATATCTAAAAGTTAAAAACAAATAGAAAGGGGTTTAATATTAGAGACCTATCCTCTGGCAAATAAATTGTTCTTCTGCAAAAAACACTTTTTCTTTGAATTGAGGTAACATTGGTTAACATACAAATTTCAGGTGTACAACATAACAATTAGATATCTGTGTACAGTTTAGCATGCTCAGCACCCGAAGCCTAGTTTCCGTCTGTCACCATACAATTGACCTCCTTTAAGTATTTTGCCCTTTACCCACCCCTTTTCCCCTCTGGTATCCACCAATCTGTAGTCTGTATCTCTGAGTTTGTTCTTGTTTTGTTTTGTTTGTTCATTTGTTTCTTTTTTGTTTTGCATTCTTCTTATGAGTGAAATCATATGGTTTTTGTCCTTTTCCATCTGATTTGTTTCACTTATTTTAGCATAATACCTTCAAGATCCATCCATGTTGTCTCAAATGGCAATATTTCATCTTTTCTTATGACTCGGTATTCCATTGTACTCATATATCGTTATTTATACAATATATACATATATATGCATGCAAAATTACTGAAAGGACATATATAAAATTTTTAACAGTGGCTATCTTTTGGTTGGTACAATATGAACCAATATTTGCTTTTGTGTTTATCCTTGCATTACCAGTTTTTGGTACTGAACATATTTTATGTTTGCAATTAGAGAAAACCCCCAATACACATTATTTAAATGTTATTTTCAGAATCTCAAGGAAATAAAGATCTTCATAAAGACAAAGTGGGCCTGGGAAGTTTGAATGGCACGACAATGCCCTACTCGTCCATTTTTTTAAATCCTGATATAATTAAATCTACATTACTTATTTGATTAAAACTTTAATTCAACTTAAAACATGAATAATTCCACAAGTACACTGAGACCTAGCCTCCAAAGCCCGAGAAGACAGACCTCATTGTGGAAACATTTGTGAGGAGAATGAGCTGTAGAAGTGTCTGCAGGTCGGGAATGACAAGGAGGCAGACCATCGATGTCCTTAGTTCCACTGGCAAGGCTGAAGAGTGTAAACTACAAAACTGCTTGCTTTTAATTAATTTATTCTGAGCACCAGAAACATTTTTCCAAAGAAGGAATTCTCATGTAAAATGTTACTGTTTTCTAATTTAAAAAGATATGTGCACCCCTATGTTCATTGCAGGATTATTTACAATAGCCAAGATGTGGAAACTCCTCGGCGTTCATTGATAGGTGAATGGATAAAGATGTGGCACATGTGTATATATTTCTACTTAGAAATGGTATAGTTATAGTTCCTACTCTACATACAAATTCATTATACCAGGTGCCCAAAAGGTAAGCCTAAGATAGCACCAACAGAATTCCAGCTGTACCTTGCAGACCTAAACATCTAGTTAAAATTCCCTCTAGTTTTTTGTTGTTTTTTTTTTTACCATGGATTCTGAGGGCAGAAGCTTCATGAACAACACAGAGAGCAGTTAAACTCTGTCACTCTGAGATCCTTCAGAAGACTTTAGTAAAAATTGTTAATGAATGTCTCAAAATACATTTGGCACAGCAAAAACATAAAGGTGTTGCCCCCCACAACAAAAAAAAACAAGAAAGTGTCAGAACTTTTGTAATATATTCTGCAAGGTGACACACACCCTTAGAACAACATTGGATGAGGAGCCAAGGGCCCTGCGTTCTCTAGTCCCTTGGTCTGTCTGAGTCTCACTGTATTCAACCCAGGCCTCTTCCAGCTTGAAACTGCTATGACTAGATTTTGTGTATCACCTCATCCTTAATGCAAGATTTTGAGTATGGGAACTTTAATGTAAAATAATTTGAGCTATAGAAATTCATTCTCTATCTCTCTTAAACGTTTGATGCCTTTACACCAGGAGCCAGATGTCCAAATGTGACTCACCGGGAGCAGTGTTTGCTGTTCATACTGATGATGACTCTGGAGGAAGGATTTAAAGGTCAATCATAGAGAAACAGATTTAGGAAGCCTTCAAGTTTTTAATCTTAATACCCATCATTTTTGGTCCTCACAATCTAAGAATATAGAAAAATGTTTCCTGCCGTACCAGCTATTAAAAGAGTGTGAAATAGGAGATTAGGCCCATTTCTATAAACTAAACACTTTGATGTTTTTGAGATAATTGAGTGCATTTTTCTAAATCAAATCTTATTTTTTTCTATTGATTTAAAAATTGAAAAGGGCTTAGGACTCACATCTCCATTTATGTGAATTAATTGCTTGCTAAGTAAGGCAAGGAACATTAAAGAACAGTATTCAAAGTTTGTGAAATGCTACTTTCTTAAAATTATCCTCTTTGGTGACATTTTCACTTAAAATATATGCACATCCGTAATTTATTCCATGGTACAAAATATTAATTTATTTCAAGTGAGTCATGTCTGTACAGTTATTGTCAAGTGCCACACTGAATAGCTGGCTGGTTTTGCACTCCTGCCCCTTCGTGCATGGGGACTGCTGTGTGGGGCTTGGCATTGTCTGCGTAGCTGTGGACACAGCTGTGGGGTGTTTTCCCCATTGACAGTGGTTAATGAAGTAAGTCTGCTCTTGTAAAATACAGACAAGTACAGTATCAAAATATATATAGAAAGAGAGAGAGAGTAAAAATTGCTTTTCTGGCCTTTTAACCCTGAGAAAGATTAATGGCTGTTTGGATTAGAAACTGTACCCTAGTGAGGGTCTGTTGCCTCCGGGGAGTGGGCATGAGAAAGGGGACCGGTCAGCCCGGGTCAACACCGCACAGGCTGCTGTGTCTCTGATGACCAGCGACCCCAAGCTGAGTTGGCTGCAGGCTCCTCCGTTAAACGCCTGATCCCCTGGGAGCTGTGAGGAGGCCAGGCCACATCCCAGCCATCACCATCACAATGGCCTGTGGGAGGCAGTCACCAGGAAAGACCACACTTTGGGCAGAAATTGGTTCTTGAAGCCCTAGGTTGAATAACTGGCAGCAGGGGGAGGGAGGGTCTAGTTTCTCAGGCTATTATTCTACTATCTTTCCAACCACCCCAACAACTCTAAATAAATGCATAGGCCCCACAAATTGCAGTAACTGTTTGTGATTTTGTCTCATGTGAAATCCCTCCTGAAGTTATGAGGACACCTAACTTTAAAATAACCTCATCTTATTCTTTCTGGCTTTAATACCATTAGCTTTTTCATCTGGGTGATTTTACTTGGTTTTCTAATTTATAAAATTGGAAACTAATTAAAATAACCATGAGCAAAAATGAGAAAAAAACTACCATCATGCCAGTACCCAAACACAGCTGTTACCATTTGATGTATTTCCTTTCCATCTTTTTCATTTGGGTGAAGTAATCTCTAGTTCTTAAGGCAGGATATTTTAAGTATTTTCTATGTTGCCACATAACCTTCATAATTATTAATTTAAAGAGTACACAATAATTTATTGAACAGGAATTTAAAAATTTATTCTTATAGGGCATCAAGGTTGCTTCCAAATTTTATCCCTACTAATACCACAGCAATGAATATTGTATATATGGATTTTTTCATGCTCTAAATTAATTTCATAGGTTAATTAATCCCTGATTGAATTTTTACGTTAGAGTATGGACATTTGTATGGCTCCTGATTCATATTGTTCAATTATATACACTTCACTATTGTTTTAAACATTGCTTACTCTCTCCTTCAATCTTCTCTTCAAAATCAATAGTAGTGTACAGAAAGGGAAAAATATCAATAATATTGTAATAAATCTGTATGGTGCCAGGTGGGTATGAAACTAATACAAAATAATATTGATTCTAAACTGTAATTAAAAAATAAAAATTTTAATGAAAAAAATTAGCAGTAGTGCAGAACAATAAGAACAACAATGAACAACAAGAACAAGAACAATAATGAAATCAAGTTCCCGTAGTTGGACCAGCTAGACTATGTATGCAGACCTGCAACATTCAGCTGTGGTTTTTCTTTTATGTCAGCGTATCTTAAGAGTTCACTTGAACAGATTAAAATTTCCAAACAAAATTATGAAGTTTACTTTAGTATTATATTACTGCCTCTTAAGTGAAACTGTAGATGACCAAGTCTATTTTCCTTGGTCATTTACTTTCTTTTTTCCTTCTAGGACCCTCTATAGTCCCCTAAGTCTTTGGGCCTATGTTATTACATTCATGGTCCTCACTTATGCTGACCAAGAAAAAGGATCCAAGGTAGCAACAAGAAAATATAAATGTTTTTTTCTCTAAGGATGTTCTAGATTCATCTGTGCCTGTGAGTGAAAGCATTGCTGCACTGGGAGGGAGGCGAGTGTCATCAAACAACCACCCCACCAAGATCCCTTCCAAGGGGCTAAGTTGCTCCTCTAATCCTAAACCTCTCCAAGCTTTGCAGTCATGCTCACTGGCCCCATGATGGCAACATTACTGTGGCCCACTTTGGACTTTATGCCAAGCATTGCATATGAGAAACTAATGTTTGTAAGGCAGCATACAAAGAAGAGGTGTCTAAATGGGAACAATAGGCTGGAGTGACAACCTGAGTAAGGACAGGCTAGTTTTCTTTCATGTTTTATATCTCATTTAACAACTATAATAAATGCAGTATATAACTCAGTACCTTGAAGAATAGTTTCCCAAAGGAGGGAGAGGATCACTGATTTGGAAAGAGGAAGAGAACTGGGGATCTGCCAGCAGGAGTGTTTTGGAGAGGGCTAGGGAGTAATTATAGGAACGGGACATTTAGTGGTATTTTTAACCAAACTGTTGACATTTTTAAATATCAGCTCTCGTAAAACACAGTGGCCTATTTAGTAGGACACCTATTACAGCTGGTAATAATAATAAAGACAATAATAATACGGGCATAGCTCATTCTATTGCACTTTGCTTTACTGAGCTGCAGTTTTGTAAACTGAAGGTTGGTGGCACCCCTGTGTTAACCAGGTCTGTCAGCACCATCTTCCCAACAGCAGTTGCTCACTTTGTGTCTCCCTGTCACATTTCAGTAATTCTCTCAATATTTCAAATGTGTTCATTATTATACTTGTTTCGATCTGGGATCTGTGATCTTTGATGTTATTGTTATCATTGTTTTGGGGTTCCATTCTCATATAAGATGGACAACTTAACTGATAAATGCTGTATGTGTTCTGGCTTTTCTGCTGACTGGTCACTCCCCCTGTCTTTCTCCCTCCCCTCAGGCCTCCCTGTTCCCTGAGACACAACTGTATTTCAGTTAGGCCAATCGAAGCCTACGATGGCCTCTAAGTGTTCAAGTGAAAGGAGGAGTTGCATGTCTCTCACTTTAAATCAAAATCTAGAAAAGATTGAGCCTAGTGAGGAAGGCATGTTGAACGCTGAGATAAGCCAAAAGCTAGGCAGGACTCTTGCACCTAACAATTAGCCAAGTTGTGAATACAAAAGGAAAGTTCTTGGAGGAAATTAAAAGTGCTACTCCAGTGAACATATGAATAATAAGAAAGTGAAACAGTCTTATTGTTGAAATGGAGAAAGTTATAGTGGTCTAGAGAGAAAATCAAACCAGCCACAACATTCGCTTAAGCTAAAGCCTAATTTAGAGAAAGTCCCTCTGTTCAGTTCTATGAAGCCTAGAAGAGGTGAGGAAGTTGCAGAAGAAAAGTGTGAGACTAGCAAGAGTTGATTCATGAGCTTTAAGGACAGAAACTGTCTCCATAAC